GTGGTTGGCACAAGGGGGGATGAAGCCGTGGATTCCAGATGATGCTCCGTGCAGGCTTCATGGTGTTCCATGACACGTGTCCTGTGATCCCAGGTTTTTTAGGATCCCAAATCATGCCACAGTGAACATCCTTGTTCGTTTACCTGTGTGCACAGGTGCCTGGTACCAGTTTCCTGGGGCTGCCATAAATACCAAAGTACCAAGAACCAGGTGGCTTAAAACAACAGAAACTGATTCTCCCACAGCTCTAGGGACCTGATGTCCAAAATCAAGGCACCAGCAGGGATACACTCCTCTGAAACCCATGGGGGGAGGATCCTTCCTCACTTCTTGCAGTTTTCGGTGTTTGCTGGCACTCCTTGGCTAGTAGGTCCATCGCTCCAATCTCTGCATCTGCTGTCACAAGGCCTTCTTCCTGTGTCTCTGTCTTCACATGATATGACTGTCTTCTTGTAATGACCTCAGTTATACAGATTTAGGGCCTACACTAATGACCCCAACTAATCACATCTGCAACAACCCTATCTCCAAATACAGTCACATTGCAAGGTATTGGCAGTTAAGGCTTGAACATATTTCTTTAGGGGACACATTTCAACTCACAACAACTGCAGAGTTAAAGAGCATAGCATTGTAATAGAAGATTTAATAGAAGCAGACAGCTAAGTCTTTGCGAAGAACAGGGTTCCCTTCTGAAACAACTTACTGTGAGTAAAGATCTTTCTCGTTGTGGCATTGCTTTAACTTGCACTGCCCGATTCCTGGGATAGCATTGGTCTTTTCAGATATGCATTAACCTTTGTGTTTCTTCCTCAGTGTTCAAGTCTTTTGCCTATTTTTTCTCTTGGGTTGTTGGGTCTTATTTCTTTCGTATAGCTCCTTTAAAAGAAAGTCATCTTGTGTCTGTTTTATTTGTTGTAAATATTTCTGCCAAGATTGTCATTTGTCTTTCAGTTTATGATATAGTTTACCATAAAATTTTTCTTGTTAATTTTTCTGCCTTCACATAAAATCTTTTCTTTTATGCCTCTGGGTTTTCTTTGTTAAAGAATGCTTTCTACTCCTCAAGATTATTTCCACATTTGCTTCCAATACTTTCATGTCTTTACTTTTTAAAAAAAAGTTAGTAGACTTATTTTTATGCAGTTTTAGGTTTACTGAAAAATTGATCATAAAATACAGAGTTTCTATGTGTCCTTCCACACCGTTTCTCCTGTTATGAATCTCCCCTTAGTGTGGTTCCTCTGCTAAGACTCATGAGCAATGTTCAGACATTACTTTTTTTTTTTTTTTTTTGAGACAGAGTTTCACTTTGTTGCCCAGGCTAGAGTGAGTGCCGTGGCGTCAGCCTAGCTCACAGCAACCTCAAACTTCTGGGCTCAAGCAATCCTCCTGCCTCAGCCTCCCATGTGGCTGGGACTACAGGCATGCACCACCATGCCCGGCTGATTTTTTCTATATATAATAGTTGGCTGATTAATTTCTTTTTTTATTTATAGTAGAGACAGGGTCTCACTCTTGCTCAGGCTGGTTTCGAACTCCTGACCTCGAGCAATCTGCCCGCTTCAGCCTCCCAAAGTGCCAGGCGTGAGCCACCGTGCCCGGCCCATACATTACTTTTAACTACAGTCCGGTTACACTAGGATTCATTCTTGGTGTTGTAAATCCCATGGTTTGGACACGCGTATAATGACAAGTTTTCACCATTGCAGCATCATACAGAGTTGCTTCACTGCCCTCAACATGCTCTGTGCTCTGCCCTTTCATCCTTCCCCACTTCACCCCCCTCCACAGTTTTGCCTCTTCTAGAAGGTCATATAGTGGGAATCCTACAGTACGTGGACTTTTCAGATTGGCTTTTCTCAGTAATATGCATTTAAGTTTCTTCCATGTGTTTTCATGTCTTCATAGCTCATTTCTTTTTGCTGAATAATATTGTCTGGATGTCCCAGAGTTTCCTCCATTCACCTATCAAAGGACATCAAAGTTGCTTAAGTTTTGTCAATTATGAATAAATCTGCTGTAAACATCTAAGTGTGGGTTTTTGTCTGGACATAAGTTTTCAACTCCTTTGGGTAAATACGGAGGAGCACTATTGTGGATCTATGGTAAGGGCATTAAGTTTTGTTAAGAAACTGCCAAACTGTCTTCCAAAGTGGCTGTCCCATTTTGCATTCCCACCAGCAACGAGTGAGAGCTCCCATGGCTCTACAATCCTTGCCAGCATTTTGGGTTGTCGGTGTTCTGGAGTTTATCCATTCTAACAGGTGTTTTTACTTTTCTTTATCGTTTGGATCTTCATTCAAAAAGAACTAACTTTCCAGCTGTCCCAATGGGGGGAGCTCCCTTTATTTTCTTCCCCAGCGCCCAGCTGTCCTCCTCCCCATCGCAGTTCTTGCCCCCAGGCCAGGTGCCCCTGCACCAGAAGGCTGCATGCTCCGGCGACAACCTGGCTGCATGGGCCCGAGGTCCAGGTCCCTGCAGGGAGGTCTGTGGGGCCCTCTTCGAGGCAGTGATGCAGCCATGGCGGAAAGTACAGCCCAGCACCACCCGTCACCCAGGCAGGCCCGTGGGTCCACCCTGTGCAGCTGGAGAAATTCAGACCTCCACTGGGGGTGTTTTAATCACGGGCATGTACACATTGAGACAGGAAAGCTAAATGCAGTGCGCGACCCTGGAGGGGGCCAGCTTACAAAGGACACTGTTGGGGCAAGCAACACCATGTCAGTGAGAGCTGTGATGGATTGTTTTAGCCTCTGGGGAACAGTTTTAATAATAACCTACCATACAACACAGCTGAGCGTTTACAGCAATGAGCATGACGAGGATAGCCATTTTCTGGGGTCTGAATAACATTAAACCAACAGCCATCTCAAACGGTGCACATCATAACAGTCTTGTAGGCAAAACAACAGCTGCAATTGGCCGCTGGAAGCTGTAACATTTCAAAAACGTTCCCACATTTCAATGTATTGTCAATCTTTTTAAATAGACTTAAAGGGTTGATGAATAGGAAAGGCCTGGTGCCCCTCCTAGGCCCATCCCAGGTGAGACACTCAGGCCGAGAAGATGGAGAAGGGGTTCTAGCTACAGCATCTGGCCCTGGTTTTGTTTCTTTTTTACCTTAGACATTTTCCTTCAAGCCTGGAGGCGTGCGGAGGGCCTGGCAGCCTGAGGGTGAGGATTATCTGCACCGGACAGACAAAAAGTCAGAGGGCAACCCCAGAGGGCAGTGCTGGGAGGAGTAGAGCCATGGTGCCCCTGGCCAGTCCAGTGTCCCTGAGGGGGCCCCAGGGGCCCTTAAGGGGAGACAGCAGGGAGGCTGTGTCCCAGCCCAGGCCCAGCCCAGTGTCAGTTGAGGGGGTGCGTGGGAGCCCACAGACAGGAGGGTGAGCGAATCTCCAACAAAGGCATGGAGATGGAGAAAACTTGGCAAGTTCCCAAATTGCATGAGGTGGGAGTTGGCTTAAAGGCCCAGGAACTGGGACTCTATTCTGTGGGCAAAAGGAAGCCTCTGGGGCTACAGCCAGGCCATGGGGGAGGCAGCTGTGCAGCCAACGCAGGCATCTGTGTTGAAGGGCCCCCAATCCAGTCACTCCTCTGTCAACAGGATGGCAGAGCCCCAGAGAGGACAAGGGGCTTGCCTGGGCAGCCTGCCAGCCCTGAGGAGCGTGACTTACCTTCATAGGATGGCAAGATGTGAGAGGCTGGCAAATCCTTCTTGGGATGGCCAAGAACATGGGGGACTCTAGCAGGAAGGAAGGTTCCTGGGTGACAGAGGACAAGTGCTGACCAGCCCCAGCCACTCACTGGCCACTGTCCCCACCACTATCTCTGCCCCAGCCCCTGGTGTCCAGCATTCCTGACATCATGAGGAACAGGATGCTGGAATGATGTACATCCAGTATATGGTGAAAAAGGACTTCTGCTCCTGGGAGTTCTTGGCCTTCTGGGCCTGCTCCATAACCAAATGTGAGATGAAGGCTGCCATTGGGGGTCAAAAACCATGTCTAGGTCCATGTCCTCCACCTCAAGGCCCCTGCAGCCCCTAGGGTGCATCACCACCAACATGCCCACTACATTGCTGGCAGGGTCAGCTGGTCTGACAGCTGTGACTCTACCAGGGAACACATGGGGATGAAGGAAGAGCTCTAGCCACCAGCTTCTGGTGGCTAAGCTGCCTCGGACCAGGATACAGTACAGGCCGTTCAGGGTTGCCACAAAGCTCAGCTGCACTGAGCTGCTGCTGTGACAGGGATAAGGTGCCCTCCTGCTGGTTCCAGAACAGCAAGCCCCGCTTCTGAAGTGAACATTGCCATTGATATCAAACAAATGCTCCAGCAGCAGCCTCACTGGGCCACAGGCCTGGCCCTCTCCGCTTTCCATCTGGTCCCCTGCACAGTGGCCGGAGAGCTATAAAAGAATATTTTCTCCATAGTAAATTTCCTGATTTGGGTCATGGCATTGCAGTAATGAAGGAAACTGTCCCGATCAGGAAATACACACTGAAGTGGGCATAATAGCTGAAGGGCACACTGAAGGGACACAATAGCTCCAACCTAAATAAGTCTCAAAGGGCCTAGAAAAATAATGCACATGCACATAGACAAAACACACAGGGTGAAATGTAAGCTGTTGGTGCATATAGGAGTTCCCTGTGTTATTATTGCAACTTTCCCTAAGTTAGAAATTCAAATATAAAATTACTCCAAAACACCCAGTAGTTTAAACGTAAAGCCTCCCTGAGGCACTCAGAACCCAACCCATGTGTGCCACCTGGCCCTGTGGGACACAGCAGCTCCTCTTATGCCACCTGTCTCTGCCGCCAAACTTCAGTTTCTCAAGGACAGGCTGCCAGAGTTGCCAGCGTCCCCTACCCCTGCGGGCTCAGGCTGGGGGCTGCTATCCAGGCAGCACTGGGAGTCCCAGAGGACACACGCGGAAAGGAGGCAGGGAGCTCCCTTCTTGCTAACTGGAAACATGAATGATGGGCCCCTGCAGACTGGACAAGCTAGGTCACATCTTTATTAACAATTGCAGCCACCTAGTAAGCGTCCTGTATACCAGCTCACCCACCCCAGAGCCTCCTTGGCCTTCCTCCCTGTAGTTTCAGGCTCTCTCAGAGGAGGCTTCTGCGGCAGTGTCAGTGTTCAGGCCTTCCTCTGACTGTGGAGTGAGAACCCGATCACGGGATAGACCCGAGGAAGTCTTGGGGACAGACTTCGCGAGGGAGAGGGTGTCCTGCGAGGCCATTGAGGACTGAGAAGACATCCTAGAGCCCTCGCCTGACCGTCCCACTGACAGCGTCCGGGAGCTTGCGCGTGACGGCGTCAGGGATGGAACCTGGGAGGCCGCCTTCGAAGTGGTCATCGATTGCACCCTGGAGGCCACCTGCGATGGGACCTGGGAGGCCACGCGCGACAAGACCAGAGATGAGTCCCTGGAGGCCACGCGCGAAGCATTCACAGATGGGACCCGAGAGGCTGTGCGTGAACAGACCACAGATGGGTCTCGGGAGGCCGCGCGGGACTGGACAGACCGGGCTCGGGAAGCCACGCGCGACGGAACCAGAGACCCGGCCTGGGGAGAAGTGTGCGCGGAGCCTACGGGGGCGGCTATCGAACCCGGGCGCGAGGCAGGCCGCGGGGAGTCTGGCGGCTGCCAGAGCAGCGGGCCACCTGGGCCCCTGCGCAGCCAATTGTGCACGCGCACCAAATCCCGCGTGTCCTCGTGCTCGCACCGCAGTTTATCTCGCTGTTCCAGCAGCTGGCGCCGCGTGTGGTGCAGCAACTGGGCCCGGCGGAGCAGCCGTAGCAGCTCCTGCCGCAGGCGCCCGTTGTCCGCCTTGATGGCCTGAGTGTGGGCGACGAGCGCGCGCGCAGCCTCCCGCTCCGCGCGCCTCGCCAGGGACTGCACACGCTGACGCGCCTCGCGCTCGAAAGCCGCCTTGTCCTCTAGGAAGCGCCGCTTCACACGGTGGAGCAGCTGTGTGTGCTCCACGCGCATGTGCAGCAGCTCGCGCTCCAGCGCCCGGATCCGTGCCAGTTGCTCCAGCTGCAGGTCCTGCGGAGGGGGCGCGGGTCAGCGCAGGACTCTGCGCCACCCCTCGGGCCCCGCCGCCCGCCCTGTCCCGCCCTGTCCGCGGGAGCTCGCACTGGCCTTGAAGGGCTGCAGCTCCTGCACTTGCCGCGCCATCTGGGCTGCGCGCGCCTCCATCTCCAGCAGCTGCGCGCGCACCCCGTCCTCGCGCCCGTGGTAGAGCAACGCCAGCTCCGCACGCTGCCAGTGAATCTGCGCCAGGTCTACGCGGTTCTGCTCATCCAGCCGGATGATGGCGTTGGCGCAGCGCTGGGCGCGCGTGCTCATATAGCTGGCGTAGAGCCGGTTCTCCTCGCGCAAGCGCTGTGCCTCGCGGTCCAGGAAGGTGTTCTCTTGAAGCACCTGGTCCACGCGGTCCTCGCAAGTGGCCAGCTGCTCCGAGAGCGTCGTGTATTCGCGCTGCAGGTACTGCGCGCGCTCCGACAGCTGCGGCTCGGCATCCTCGCGGCGCCCCGTGCTCACCCCGCGTTTCTTCTTGGGCGCCATGGATTGGGGCCTGGGGCACCCGGACTCGTGAGGGCAACGACCCCTCCCGCTCCCCCAGCTTAGTCCCTCCTCTTCCCCAGCCCAAATACTCCACGTCCAGGGGTGGGACGCGTCTTAGGGTAAGGAGGTTTGGGAGAGGCAAAATCAGGGATATAGGGTCTTGGGGATCAGTGCAGCATTGCCAACCTTTACTTGTGGGCTCCGTCGGGGTACACCCAACATTAGTAATGTTGATGCTCAGCGCGCACAGTCTCTATGGAGACAGAACTTAGTCGCCCTCCCCCAGCCCCACCCTGTTGCTTGGACAACGCTGGGCTGCTCCCCACAACTCCCTCCCTCTTAGGATGCGCCCCCAGGGGTAGGGCCTGAGACCTGCCGGACTTTTGCTTCAGAAGGATGATTCTAGACTTGGTTCTGAATCTAACAGCCTGAGCAGCAGCCTGAAGGGCCCCAACTCTCCACATGCTAGGGACTTAGTGCCATTCGCCTTTCTTCCACCAATGGTCTCTTACCCCTTTACCCCCCATATGAAGAGGGGGTTGACGGTCCCCTCCACCCTTGAGCGAGCCTCTCCCCACCCGTCCGTGTGAACCCTGTGGTATCAGCGTGGAGGCTTCCCTGGGGCTGCTTCTCTTCAAGGACACGTCCTTTCCTCAAAGCATCTCAAGATTTTTTCAGCCCTTCTTCTGAGGTCCCATAGGAATTAGGGTTACTGGGAAGTGTTGAGTCCATTCGAATGCTATGCGATTAGCCTGCATACAGAGCGTTTCTCTCTGGAGCTCCTAACCCCACACATCCCGAACCGCCTCTGCTCAGCCCGTGAGGCCACACCAGGCTGGCGGCTTCCCTTCCCGGTTTGCCGGGTGGCTGGAGGGGATAAGGGATCCATTAGGAATTTGGCTGTTTCTCTTTTTGCCGTAGACTTTATTTGACTAAATCTTTTATTTTATTTATTTATTTAGAGACAGAGCTTCACTCTGTTGCCTGGGCTAGAGTGCTGTGGCATCAGCCTAGCTCACAGCAACCTCAAACTCCTGGGCTTAAGTGATCCTCCTGCCTCAGCCTCCCGAGTAGCTGGGACTACAGGTATGTGCCACCGCGCCCAGCTAATTTTTTCTATTTTTAATTGTTTGGCTAATTTCTTTCTATTTATAGTAGAGATGGGTCTCACTCTTGCTCAGGCTGGTCTCGAACTCCTGAGCTCAAGCAATTCTCCCACCTCTGCCTCCCAAAGTGTTAGGATTACAGGTGTGAGCCACTACACCTGGCCTATTTGACTCAATCTTGACAAGAAAATGGAGGTGGGACTTCCTGCAGTGCCTGGCTCCGGCGCTGTTAGGTTGGAGATTACCTCTGGTCCTTTGACTCATGGTTTATACCTACACCTGCTTTGTGTCTTGTCATCATAGAATTTCTGCCTAGGTTTGTCCCCATTGCTGGAATATGGGCAGACTTGAGGATCCTTGACTTGTACGTTGTGAGTGGCACGGTTTAGGAAACCACGTTTGTAGATCTGTGTTGAAAATGGTCTTAGAAGGTTGATTTTAGAATGCTGGTGTTTCACTGGCATCGCTGGACCTGCTCTGATTATGTAATCTGCCCGAAAGGTGTGGCAGGGCCTCTTCAAATTAGGAACACATATGAGGCTTTTTCTACCTTATAAAAATGTCATTTGTAATAAAAATAAAATGATACGAACTGCAGACAGTGCAGAATCTGTGTTAGCATTAAACTCTTAAAGACACTTTGATTTATAAATTCCTAAAACAGCATCCGAATGTTGGCCTTAAAATATGGGCTTTTAACATGAAAGTGGTGCCTAACTTCATACAGAAAATTGAGAAAAGACCAAGTAGAATCCCGGGAACACATCACCCTGCACCCCTGCAGTGGAGCTCATTCACGGGGCTTTCCAGCTCCTCTCCGGGGCTTCACGCTGGCACTCTCCACCTGCCGCCCTCAGGACTCACCTGGCCTCACTGTCCTCGTTTGACAGATTGGAAAACTGAGGCAGCAAGAGGTGGAGGCCTGCCCACACGGGCCAGTCTGGTCCCCCTCAGTCTTAGACCCTGTGCTGTCCCAGGCCATGGCACATCTTGGCTCTGGCCCATTCTGGCCCTCCCCAGACCCCCTATCCATTCTCAGCCCCAGCCCCGCCCTTGCACTGGCCTCAGCCCGGCTGACCCATCCACTCCATCAGGCCTCTGCCCAGACCAGCACTTCAACCTCTGCCCCCTACCTTGGCCTTTGACCCTAGAGGATTAGAGGCAGGAGAGGATCTTGCCCTTTGCCTGTTGGGGCTTGCCCTGCGCTGCTGGCCTCAGAGTGCAGTGATTCCTCCCAGGGTAGGGAGGACGTCTGGCCTGGAGGTGGGCTGGGATGCCTCCCCAGGACCGCCCCTCCCAGCCCCTTCTTTCACTGTGTTAGGAAGGGGTGCCCCTAGTGTCCATGGGAGACAGAACTCGCCTCTGAGGCTTCAGGATTCAAAGTCAGGTGTTACCTGTGACGTTTCTCCCACCCTTGAGGGTTTCTCCTTCCCTCCCTGAATGGGGTGGTGGTCTTTGTCCACCTGTGGCCAAAAACTACACCTCCCTTAGACTCAAGCTGGGGAGGATCTCAGGGGTCACTCACTTCCCCTGCAGCTGGCAAGACACTGGAGGAGGGTGAATGCTGTCTGCTCAGGGGCTACCCAGCCAGCCTACCATGCTGGCATCTGCCTGGACCCTGAAGGCTGCAGCACCGTGTCACTCTTGGCCTCTCCCTGGGAAACTGCTCACTGCTCTCAGCCTTCCCATGGGCGCGCCCTCTGTGGCCCTGGCTTGCTGTTCCTGCTGCCTTGACTGTCCTTCCCTCCTTGTCTCCAAAGACTTGGAGTGAGCTCCCCTCCTCTGAAAGTAGCCAGTGGGGCTGGACTGTGTGCCTGACCCTGGGCAAAGCTCTCCCAGCAGTCTCTGCTTCCACTTCACAGAGAGAGAAATCGAGTCACAGAGCCTCTTGTTCTAGGCCTCGTGGAAGCATTAGGGCTGTGATTGGGACCTTGGAAGGCTCTTCCTGCTTCCCTGTGCTTGCTGCCTATTTTAGAGTCTTCTCCCAATCCCTGCCATGTGCCCTGGGGCAAGGGGCAAAGCATTCTGGGCCGTCTGTGACCAGTGCCTGACAACCCTTCCACCTGCCCACAGGTAGAGTTGGGTGTGGGTTCAGGTGCTGTCAGAGATCCTGTCCCTGGAGCTCAGCCCTGGGCAGGAGTCTGAGACCCACGGGGCGGCCAGATGTTGACCAGTGGTTAGACAAAGGGACGCCCAGAGGCCTAGTGGGAGGAAATGCCCCAGTTCCACCCTGAGTAACTTGTCCCTTGATCAGAAGCACAAACTGATGGCGATTGCCATGGCAAAAGGGACGACAGGCAGGAACATGAGTGAGGTCCAGCAGAGCCTGGACTCCAGTGTGTCCTCTGATTGGGTTAAATGCTGGAGGCCCCAGTGCCGGTTGTTCTCTGTGTCCTAGGCTCAGCCTGATCCTGTCTCCTTCCCCCATTCTTGCAGGCCTGCCCCTCCCACCCCACCTGGGCTGTCTTAGGGAGGAGCGCTAAGGTAAGGACCCTCCCCTCCATGGCCAGGTACCTCAGAACCGATGCCAGGTCCACATGAGGCTCACGGTCAGCCCCACTTGGAACATCCATACCCTGGCCACGGTGTGTATTAGCCCCCGCAGCCACAGCTGCCTCTACAGGACACACTCTGCCCTCCCTAGCACAGTACAGTGAGGGCCACGAGCTCCCCCCCGCCAAGTGTAAGGACCAGGCCTGTGCCCGCAGGAGCCCTGCCCAGGTCATTCCTGGTCCTCCCTGACGGGAGCAGCTTGGGCTTGGGGTATGGTCTGGGTGGGCCTGCACAGGGCCCAGGGTGCTCCCCTACCTCTTTGTGAGGAAGAGGATGGCCCTGAGTAGGAGGCTCAGGTCCAGAGCCCCACACAGGTGGCAGTGAAGATGCCCACACCTAGCTCCAGAGACACCTCTGAGAGGCAGTGTGAGGGGTGCCCAGCTGGGCACCTCCATGGACTCTTACTTCTGAGTCCATGCCTCTGGACCCATGATTTGAGAGACCACCCTCCCGAGAGAGGCCCAAGTAAATGACCGCAGGAGCAGGGTGGTGGGGCCTGGGACACCTGAGTCCGTAGCTCATGCTGGCCGCAGAAGGGGAGAGGACGACATTGGAACCAGTGCTGGAGGAGTCCACCAGTTCCCCCCACTAGGGGAAGGAGAGGCTGTGCATGAGATGGGTGGTGGTGGCTGAGACTACTGACACAAGGGGGCAGGGCTGACTCCTTCTCTGGCTGTGATGCTCAGAGGCAAGGTGAGGCCTCAACCCACACAATGGCAGATGGATGGTGACACCCATGGCAGGGGCTGGCCCATTCTGTGAATTGTGGTTGCCGGGAGATGGGGTCCATCGGAGTTTTGTCTCCTGCGTTACAGAGAGGCTAGGGCCACACTGCTCCAGCCCGGGGGATTTGGACGGCAACAGGCCCACTTCCCTGACTCTGGATCTCCTGGACATGCCTTCCGGAACCACCCATGACTCCCAAAAGGAGGCTAAAAATTAAATACAAGTAAATACAAAGTCCAGGTCAATGTGCTCAAAATAAGGCTGAAGGTTACAACTGCATGCAACAAAATTTATTGTTGACTAACAATTGATGGGAAAATAAGATCATCTTGACAAAATTTATACCTGCAAGTATATTTGGACAGGGAAAGTTGGACTTGGTAGAAATAGTGGTCCCAAGAGAAAATGCATAATATCACATTAAAAAACAACAACAGTGAATCAAAGGTCCACTGAAAAGTGTAAATAGGAAAAAACGAATCCAAGTGAAAGTAATTGCAGTAAAATGAAAAAGGGAAACAGAAAAAGTTGGAAATGGTTTAATGTTGCCATATAGAAAACTGATTTAATAATGAAGTGTAATGAAGTTCACACTGAACAATTTTTTTTCTAATGTTTGTATAATTTGTATAATTCTGCTTATCGGCCACATTCTCAGGGGCAGAATTGAGATAGTGTAGGAGGTGGACTTTGGCTGCCTGACTGTCTTAAGTAAAAGGGTAAGTATGCTTACAATATTGAACAGAAGCTTTGAATATGATTAACACCCAGCTTTAATAGAAGACAGTTCTGCTTTTTTTTTTTTTTTGAGACTGGGTCTCGCTGTCCCCAGCTGGAGTGCAGTGGCGTCATCATAGCTCACTGCAGCCTCTAACTCCTGGGCTCAAGCGATCCTCCCCACGTCACCTCCCAGAGTGCTGGGATTACAGGCGTGCCCACTGCCAGTCCTGCTTTTTTTAATAGGACGTGGCAACCATTGGAGTAGGGGTCTGCCAGCCCCAGTCAAAGCCACCACAAACTGGGTGCTGCCAAGATGAAGCCCAAAGTTGATTGCTCCTAGACCTTTTTCCTCATTTTAATGCTAGAAATCATGCCCAAGGGTGGAGATTTAACATGGTAATAACACATGCGATGTACGAAGCACCATGACCACCAGAAGGGCAGCTGCCAACAAAACTCCGCCTCTACATACTGTGATTTCAGTCTTGGCATTAAACTTTTTGTCTCTCCCCTTTAAAAGTTCCCTAGCGCTCTGTTCAGACGGCCAGTCTGGTTGCTCTTTAAGCAGCGCTATCTCCTTTGTGTTCAAATCTGAGCCCAGTGAAGCCATGCCTGTGATTCCCTATGGGCCTCTGGCTAATTCCTACTGCGTGGAGAGCCCAAGTGCCTGCACAGTGACATGGTGGCAACACCTCCTCTCCCTGGGCTGCATGGGGAAAGGTGAGGAATGGAGGGGGCTGCCCTGCTATTGGTCACTCTTTCCCTGTTCTCTGGGGACCAGCTAGGCATCCATGCTGGCTTCAGCAGCTGCCTCCCAGCCACCCCAAGCTGCTCTGTGGCCTCCCAGGAACTGGCTCTTCTTGATCAAGTTTACTAAGGCTCCTACTGTCTACTGGCAGTTCCTGCTGCCCAGGGCAGTGAGGGCTGGGGGTGTCTGGCTGCAGCATTCTAAGTCAAGAGTAATGACTTTCCTGGCTTCCCCACCTCAGACCCTTCATTAGCATGTCCATCTCTGATTTTTTTCCGCCTGCCCAAGCTGTTATCATCCCCCTCCGTTTCTATGTGTCCTCTACTACTCTCTTTGTCCCTGCGGGCACATAGCTTTTATTTCTTTTTTTTGAGACAGAGTCTTGCTTTCTTGTCCAGGCTAGAGTGAGTGTCGTGGCGTCAGCCGAGCTCACAGCAACCTCAAACTCCTGGCCTCAAGCAATCCTGCTGCCTCAGCCTCCAGAGTAGCTGGGACTACAGGCATGTGCCACCATGCCCGGCTAATTTTTTTTATATATTAGTTGGCCAATTAATTTCTTTCTATTTATAGTCATATAGCTTTTCAATTCATATTTCTATTGATTATATTCCTATTGATTATAATCCTATAGGATTATAATTATAATAGGATTATTATTATAATTATAATCCTATCGGATTATAATTCCTATAATATAATCCTATAATTATTATAATCCTATAGGATTATAATTCCTATAATATAATCCTATTGATTATATTTCTATTGATTATATTGATTCATATTTCTATTGATTATATTCCCACTTGTTTAATAAAGTTGCCATTTCATCTAAATTGTCAAATTTATTGGTGTAAAGTTGTTCATAATCTCTTATTGTATTTTAGTGTTTGAAGGATTTGGTAAGGATGTACTGTCTTTCATTCCTGACGCTGGCTCTTTTAGTCTTAATGACTAAAGACTCTTATTAAGATTAAAGACTCATTACGACTCTTTTAGTCTTAATGAGTCTAGCTAGATTTTAGTCCATTTAGTCATAGAACCAGCTTTTAGTTGGTTTTCTTCTTTGCTTGTCTGTCTTTCATTTCAATTATTTGTACTCATCTTTATTATTTCCTTCTTTCTACCTACTTTGGGTTTAATTAACTATTTTTTCTAGCTTTCTAGGTGGAAACTTAAAAACTCTCTTCTGTTCTAATACAAGCAGTTAGAACTACAAATTTCCCTCTAAGCATTGCTTTAGCAGCAACTCCACAATTCTCATACGTTATGTTTTCATTATCTTTCAGTACAAAACAGTTTCTAATTGACCTTGTGATTTCTTAACCCATTGATTATATAGAAGTGTGCCATTTCATCTCAAAATCTTCGGGGATTTTCTAAATGTCTTTCTGTTACTTATTTCTAATCCAATTCTGTGGAATCAGAGAACATAATGTGTATGATTTCAATTCTTTTACATTTATTAAGCTTTGTTTTATGGTACTTACAATATGTTTTATCTTGTTCATACACACGCCAGAATGCGTATTCTGCTTTTATTCGGAGCATTGTCCTCTAAATGTCAACTAGGCTGAGTTGGATGATGTTGTTCAGGTCTCCTGCATCTTTATCTTCTGCTTACTTGCTCTATCAATTATTGACAGAGGAGTGTTAAAGTCTCCAACTGTAATTGTGGGTTTATTTTTCATTTCATTTATGTCAGGTTTTGCTTCATGTATCTCAAGTCTTTGTTATTAGGTACATACACTGAGAATTACAATATCTTCTTGATAAATTGACACTTTTATTATAATGAGCTATTCTTCTTTATCTGTGGTAACATCCCATGGCCTGAAGTCTACTTTGATATTCATGTAACTGCTAAAGCCGTCTTATCATTACTGTTTGCATGACATATCTTTTTCCATCCTTTTAACTACGTCTCTATAATTAAGGTACTTTTCTTAATTGTAACATATTTAATATATATATTATGTTTATAATTTGTATGTGTATAATTAAAACATTTCTTGGATTTTACCTTTTTAAAAATAAAGTCATACAGTCTCTGCCTGTTAATTGGAGTATCTAGACCATTTGTATATAATGTAATTATTGATATGGTTAGGTTTAAGTCTACTATCTCATTGTTTATTTTCTATTTGTCTCATTGGTTCCTTGTCTTGTTCCTTTTGCTTTTTTTTTTTTTTTTTTTTTTTTTTTGAGACAGAGTCTCACTTTGTTGCCTGGCCTAGAGTGCAGTGGTGTCAGCCTAGCCCACAGCAACCTCAAATTCCTGGGCTCAAACAATCCTTCTGCCTCAGCCTCCCAAGTAACTACAGCTATGTGCCACCATGCCCGGCTAATTTTTTTTTCTATATATTTTTAGTTGTCCATCTAATTTCTTTCTATTTTTTAGTAGAGACAGTGTCTCACTCTTGCTCAGGCTGGTCTTGAACTCCTGAACTCAAACGGTCCTCCCGCCTCGGCCTCCCAGAGTGCTAGGATTACAGGTGTGAGCCACTTCACCCAGCCTCTGCCTTCTTTTTGATTAATTTTAAATATTCACTTTATCTAGACAATGGGCTCACTAGCTATAACTCTTTACATATGTTTACCTTTAAGATAAGGAATTTTATATTTAACTTGCCACAGTCTATCTCCAAATAATAATTCTTTACATATAATTTAAGAACCTGACAATATATAATTGTGTATATTTTGTAAATTTCCACTCTCCCTCTTCATATTTTGTGCTATTGGCGTCATACATTTTACTTCTATAAGTTATAGCTCCCACAGTATATTGATGTTATTTTTATTTTAAAGAGTCAACTATCTTCTAATGAAATTTAATCAATGAGAAAAATGTCTTTTAGAGTTAGCTACCTATTTACCATTTCTGGCTCTGCGTTTCTTTATGTCAATTCAAATTTTCATCCAGAGTCATTTTTCTTCATCCTAAAAATTTTTCACTAGTATGTTTTGTAGTATAGGTCTGCTGGTGACAGATACCCTCGGCTTTTGCCTGAAAAAATCTTTATTTCCCTTCATTCTTGAGAGATTTGTTCTCTGGGTAGGTAACTCTAGATTGGCAGAGGGTTCTCCCTCCTTTTTCTTTTTGCACATTAATGATGTCATTGCTTTGTCTCCTGGCTTGAAATTTTTTCTGACAAGAACTCTGAAGTTACATGTTGATTTTTGTTCCTCTGTAAGTTCCTTTGTTTGCCTTTAACATTTTTTCTTTATCACTGTTTTTCAGTAATTTAGTTATTACTTGTTACAGCTTCCTCTGTGTTTACCCTGCCTACGCTTCCTTTAAATTCCTGGATCTGTGAGTACATTTTTTTCTTCAAATTTGAAAAAATTTCAGTCATTATTTTCTCCAATATACTTTCTACACCACTACCCCATTGTTGAAACTGTCCCACAAGTTATTTTTTCTCTGTGTGTTTCAATATAGTTTCTATTGTTGTCTTCAAGCTCACTGACCATCTCTTCTTTTTTAAAAAACTTTTTTAACCAAAGAGCTTTTTATCACCCACATTTTAAAAAAATAACAGACCATCTCTTCTGTGGTTAAGTCTATGTAATGAGTTTTTCATTCCAGATATTTTATTTTTAAGCTTTTGACATTTTATTTGGTTCTTTTTAATAAATTGCCTTTCTCATCTCACTATATTCATGCTTTTCTTTAAATCCATCAGCATATTTATAATAGGTGTTTCTAAAGTCACTAGTTCCATCATCTCCCTCATATCTGGGTCTTTTTCCTCAATGGGTGTTTCTCTGGGTTACAGCTCATACTTTCCTGCTTCTTCACAGCCTAGTAATTTTTTTTATTGAAGCAAAATTCACATAACATAAAATTAACCATTCATTTGGGTTGTTTTCATCTTTTGGCTTTTGTGACTAGTGCTGCTTTGAGCACTCCTGTACAAGGATTTGTTTGAATACCTGTTTTCAATTCTTTTGTGCATAAACCTAGGCATGGAATTGCTGGATCATACAGTAATTCTGTTTAACCTTTTGAGGAATTGCTGAACTGTTTCCTACAATGGTGGCACCATTTCACATTCCTACCAGCAGTGTATGAGGATTCCAGTTTCTCCACATCTTTGCCAAGATTTTTTAAAAAATTATAACCATCCCAGGGAGTGTGAAATGGTATCTCTTGTGTCTTTGACCTGCATTCTCTAATGGCAGTGCCACTCAGCATCTTCTCACGTGCTGTCGGCTATTTGTTTATCTTCTTTAGAGGAATGTCTATTCATGTGCCTTTGCCCATATTTTTAATTGCTGGATATTGTGAATTTTATGTTATTAAGTGTTGTTTTGTTGTTGCTTCCCCTTAAAGAGTATGGAAGGTTGCTTTGGTAGGCAGTTAAACTATTTTTGTATCATCTCATTCCTTTCAATGCTTGTTTTCAACACCCAGAGTGGGTGTAGAGTACACTTTACTCTAGAAGTAGTTCAACAGATCTGAGGTGGGAACTGTCAGGGTCTTTCCTGAATATTCTGGTGTTCAACAAAGGCTCTCCACCCTGGCTCTTGGCATGTAAAGGTCCCCTCCCTATGTGATCTCTGGGAATTATCCAGGTTGTACCCCCCGCCCCACAATGGCTGTTCTTTGCCTGGCCTTGGGAAACACCCCCCACTCCTCCCTGGCCTGATGCTCAGCAGCAGGGTAGAGAGGACTTTCGTCTGGCCGTGTGGCTTGTGTTCTGACATGGCAGTCCTGCACTATTTCATGTCCAGTGTTTGTAGATGTGACTTTTGTCACATATCGTGTCCATTTTTCTAGCTGCTCATGGAAGGGGGAGCATGTCCAGTACCAGCCACCCCATCATGACCAGAAGTCTCTTGTTCCTTCCTCTTTTTTTTTCATTTATTTATCCCTACTCCTCTACCTCTATATGGAGGACTAACTGGAGTACCATAAACTTCACATATTTAAAGTGCACGATTTAAACAGTTTTGACATAAGTATACACCCCTGAAGCCCTCACCCTAATTGGGACATTTCCATCACCTCCAAAAGTGTTCTCCTACCACTCATAATCCATCTCTGCCTCCACCCGCCACCCTCAGGCCACCACTGATCTGTCTGTAGTTGGCATTTTCTAGAATTTTATATAAATGGCATCATTCAGGGTACTCTTGTGAGGGGAGCTGTGGCTTCTTCCTGGCAGCATGATAATGCACCCGTGCCATTGTATCCATAGTTTCTTCTTTTTTATTGCTGAAGATCAGTCCATTGTCTGGATGGGCCACAATTTGTTTAGCCATTTCCCTGTTTCGAATGTTGAAAGCAAAATCTGGGTTATTTCCTGCTTGGGGCTGTTACAAATAAAACTGCTATGAACAGCCACACCCACTTTTTGTATGGATGTTTTCATTTCTCTTGGGTAAGTTCCTTGGAGTAGAATGTCTGGATGACAAGGCATATTTATGTTCAATACTTTAAGACACTGCCAAATTGTTTTCCAAAGTGGTTGTAGCATTTTATAACTCTATCAACCAAGCAGGAGCATTCTAGCCCCTGCACACCCTCACCACACTAGGTGAGTAGCCATCCCAGGAGGCACTAGTGGGGTCTCAGGCTCTTACTCGCGCTTTCATTCCTTGCAGACCTGCGCTTTGCAGAGCTCTCCTTCGGCTCCAGCACCACCCACGATGTGTTACGTATGGGTCCACTGTGCGGAAAGTCAGAAACCCAGAGGAAGAGTTAAGAAACTTACAGCTGTAGCACAGGGTAATTTTATGACTGCTGAATCTAATAAAAAAATTGGGGCTTTATTTTGTAGGTCTATGGCTCTTAACTTTTTTCTAGTAATTCATTTTTACTGCATTTTACAAAATTATCAATCTGCAATAGATTTAAAATTTTTAAAGATGGTTCTTGGGCAGTTCCAGAAGCTCACTCTGAATGCCCAGGTGCAGGTATCTGCACACACCGGTGGTCTCACCTGGCTGCTGCTTTAAATGACACCAGACACCAACACCCAGTATGTGTCACCTCCTCCCTCCAAAATCTCGTCTAAGACTTCCACTTGGATGTCTAAACAGTATCTTAAACTTAAAATATCCCAATTCCAGAGTTTCTTCGCTAAACCTGCTCTACCCATCGCCTTCCCCACCTCAGCCCTGTGCCTCTAGAAACTACCATGAACCCTGGGCAGCTGACATTCCTGTCTCATGCCTACAGTCCAACCTGCAATAAATCCAGGGGCTCTGCTACAGCCAGGTGCAGCCCTCACGCCTCCCGCATGGCCTCCCCTCTCCTGCTCTCCTGCCCCATGACCCCCAGTCCACAGCTAAAGCCCTCGGTCCCCGGCCCTGGGCTCCAGCCCCGAAGGCCCCCTTTGCCGCGGACGCGCCAGGCACACTCCCACCTCGGGGTCTCTGCCTGGCCGGCCGCCCGCCCAGTCTCTTCCTCTAGCGTCCAAAGCGTGGCTCCCACTTCCCTCCCTGGGCGCCCCCGCCCCGCAGTCCCCTCACCTTGTTTCCTCTTCCCAAGACGCTGCCCACAGTCTGGCGCGCCCTGCCCAGCCCGCTCCAGCTCGCCCTCCCGGCCTCCCCACGCGAGACCCCGACGCAGGCTCCCTCCGCGTCCCGGGACCTGCCCGCCGCAGACACTCGCACGCGGTGGGGAGCAGCGGCGGGAGCGCGCGGCCCCAAAGCTCTGGACAGAAGCTCCGTCTGCGCGACGCTTCTGCCCCCGGGACCACTCGTAGAGCCCCAGGCATCCAAGGGAGGCGGAGCGAGGAAAGAGACCTCCAAGAAGCTGGGGCAGGCGACACGGAGCGGACCGGGGCCTCAAGGAGCCGAGAGAGCCCGGAGAGCCCGGGGCGGCGCCAACGCGGCGGGACAGAAGGTAGGCGGTTTCCGCGCGGCCCGGCGGGGGCGGGGCTTGGGCCACGGCCCGCCCCAGTCCCCGGCGCAGGCGCGAGGGCAGGCGCGGCGCCTCTGTCGGGTCGGTTCCCGAGGCAACAGCGCCCAACAGGTCCTGCCCAGCAGAGCCTGTGCCGTCTCCTGAGCCAGAGTCCCCCGCCGCCATGTGCGCCGCCGAGGTGGACCACCACGTAGCCCGGAGATACCTGCTCAAGCGGCGGCTCGGGAAGGGGGTGAGCGCCGGGGAAGCGCCTGGGCGTCCACTCGGGGGTCTGCTTTGTCCGACGCTGGCGCCCTGCTTCCTCCACTGTGTGTGTGTGTGGGGGTGGCCTTGAGCAAGCCGTCGAGCCCTCTGTGCCTCAGTTTTCTCTCGGGGTTACAGGACCCTGACAGTGCCCACACCAGGGTCCTGGCTTCTGGAAGCAAGTGATAGCCAGGGCCCCACCCTCCCACAGACCCCTGCTTCCAGGGCCGCCTCTCCCCCGGCCCCCTGATGCGGGGATTAGCTTCAGTCGCTGAGGGGAAGGGTAGATCCCAGCATCAGCCCAGGTGGGCCCACAGGCTTTCCAGCCCGCTAGCAGGGGCCTGGCCCAAGAAAGACTGAGCGGGGAAACGGGTGGGCGTGGAGGAAAAGCTGGAACCATGTGTGAGCTGTGTGTATTTGCGATTGTGTGTGTGAGCACGTGAGGCTGTGTATGTGAACGTGTGTGCCTGCGTGAGTGTGCTTGGGTGTGTAATGGGAGCAGGGAGGAAAAGCAGTCCAGGTGGTGCACACAGCATGTGCAAAGGCCCTGAGGCAAGGCCTGCTTGTCCTTGGAGAAACCACAGCGTTGTGTGTGTCTGGCTAGAAGTGAACTAGGGGAGGGGAGGGGAGAAGGGAGAAAAAGGAGAGATATGTGTCCGATTGTGTGGGGGGCTTTGGGGAACTTCAAGGACTTTGGCTTTTACTGTTACTGACACTGGGAGCTGTAGCAGCCGTTGGTACCACTTTACAAGGCTCACCCTGCCCCCTTTGTTGAGGGCCCACTGTGGGGGTGGGCAGAAGTGGCAGAGGGAGATCAGCTAAGAAGGTAGAGTTGCTGTCCAGCTAGAGATGCTGAAGGCTCAGACCAGGGTGGTAGGAAGTGGTGAGGTTCTGGATAAATCTGAAGGTGGAGCCAGCAGGCTATTGACAGGCTGGATGTAGTATATGTGAGGGAGAGAGGGATCAAGAATCCTGGGCAGCTGGAAGGATGGAAGGCCATCCCTGAGAGGGGCAGGCTTCAGTTCCTGCCCAGAAGTTCCCATCTGCAAACTCACCTTCTCCAGGGGTCTCTCCAGCCCTCCTCTGGAAGATGTGGAGTCCCACACAGCAGCTGGGCAGCCTGCAGGTGCAGGGTCCAGAGCGCCAGGCCTCACCACACTCCTGTCCCCTCCCAGGACCCAGCATGGGAGCAAGTAGCCTCTGTCTGCAGGGGCAATCTGGGTGGCAGGGTGTGGCTGGCTGGGCAGGCTGACCGTACTCCTCCCCAGGCCTACGGCATTGTGTGGAAGGCAGTGGACCGGAGGACTGGTGAGGTTGTTGCCATCAAGAAAATCTTTGATGCCTTTAGAGATAAGACAGATGCCCAGGTAAGGGCGGAGAGCAGGGGTGGGACTGATGTTGCTGGGTGCCTGGAATCTCAGGTGTAAAGTTGACACCCAATCACAGCAGGTTTCCTGGTATTTCCTGTAGCATACCCCCTTTGTGACCCCATGGTCCAGTGGGTGTTTGGGTGACAGGCACCAGCCCCTTTGGGACCTTTCAGGATTTGGGCTTCTTTCTTGTTCTGTCTATCCCACTCCTGTTTCTGTCTCTTCCAGAGAACGTTCCGGGAAATCACACTCCTCCAGGTGAGTGGCCTAGGCTGTCCTGCCTGCTCCCCTTCCCCAGGTCTGGGTCTCTCCAGACAAGGGGGAAGCCGGCCCTCGACCCCCAGGGTACAGCCCCGGCCTCACAGCAGCAGTAACCACCAACTCTGTCTCTAGGAGTTTGGGGACCATCCCAACATCATCCGCCTCCTTGACCTGATGCGGGCAGAGAATGACAGGGATATCTACCTGGTGTTGGAGTCTATGGGTGAGTGAGGCCTCACTCAGCCCCCAGCCCCACCTCTGCCCTGGCCCTGGGACCCCACCCGGTGGCCTGACTCCCTCTTTATGTCCCTTTGCTGCCTGGGTCCCCATAGTGGCTTGTACCTTCACCTTGTACCCTGTACCCAAGGACAAATAGCTGACAAGTGTCAGCCTCCAGAGCCTGGCAGTGACCACCTCAATCCCACCTGCATGAGGCTCCTGCTTTGTCCATGGTTTGCACCTGCATTTCCCTTTTTCTACTCATTTTATAAAACAAAGGCAACATGAAATAAAGTATGGAAACAATTCCACGAACCTTTCTTGTTGTACCAACAAAGACAGTGGGCAGGACTGAGAAGCCTGAGGAGGGGCCGGGCAACTGCAGGCCATGGGCAGACTCAAAGTGGGACAGACCTGTTGGCTCTCCCCAGGTGTCCCTTGTCTGGCCCCAAACTGACCTGCATGTCCTTCCTTGGGTCTCCACACCCCCAGACTGATGGGCATGCCTTGTCCCCAGACACTGACCTGGATGCCGTCATCAGGAAGGGCGGGCTGCTGAGGGACGTCCACAAGCGCTACATCTTCTACCAGCTCCTGCGGGCCACCAAGTTCATCCACTCAGGGCGAGTCATCCACCGGGACCTGAAGGTGCAGCCCCACACTGCGTCTGCCTAGCCCCCAGCCTCCATCCCCCAATGGCTCACTCAGTCCTCAGCCCACCTCCTCTTCCAGCCGTCCAATGTCCTCTTGGATGCCAACTGTGTGGTGAAGCTCTGTGACTTTGGCCTGGCCCGCTCTCTGAGCAACTTCCCTGAGGGGCCTGAGGGCCAGGCCCTGACCCAGTATGTGGCGACACGCTGGTACCGAGCTCCGGAGGTGCTACTGTCCTCAAGCTGGTAACAGTGAGATACTCCCAACCCCCCTTCTCCCTGTAGGCTCCCTAGGGCTGCCCTCCTGCCCCCCAGGGCTCCCAGGCCTTCCTGTCCCCTGGGCCTGCCTTGGCCCCCACCCCCCGCTGTGCCCTCACCTTACACTCCCAGCAACCCCCCACTCTGTCTCTGGGTCTCCCTCATGCCTACACTCCTTCCTGCCCCAGGTACACCCCCGGGGTGGACATGTGGAGTCTGGGCTGCATCCTGGGGGAGATGCTTCGAGGGCGGCCCCTGTTCCAGGGCGCGTCCACGCTCCACCAGCTGGAGCTGATCCTGGAGACCATCCCGCCTCCATCCGAGGGGGGTGAGCATGTGTGCAGGCGTGCAGGCATGTGTGCCTCAGCAGCCTGGCGCTGGGCACTGGGGATGCTGAGGGCCAGAGGATGCAGCTGTGGGGAGACAGCACCTGACAGGCCAGGGCAGCACACGGAGGGATGGGACAGGGAAGAGGTGGGGGGGCAACTGCACAAGGGAGGTCCAGCCAGGTCAGAACAACGTCCCTGAGCGTTGTAGGTTGCAGGGCCAAGGATTGGCACTGTGCTAAGAGCTGGGCAGGGCAGATTGGGGCACTGAGTCCTGTCAGACAGCAGAAGCCCAGAAGGGATGGCTGGCCCAGACTCCCTACCTGCCCAGGCCTCTGGTCCCAACACCCTCTGCCACCCACCCCTAGACCTCCTGGCCCTCGGCTCAGGCTACAGCTCCTCCATTCTGCACGGCCTGGGGTCCCGGTGAGTGGGGTCACTTTGGTGAGGGGTAGGGGTGGCCTGTCTTGGGGGGGCCTTCCTGCCATGTTGCTGGGGCCAGTCTGCTGGGTGATGCCCTGCCCTGCTTTTATGATGGGTCATGCTGAAAGCCAGGAGTCCCCAGTGCTGGCACCAGGGGCTTCGGGACAGCACCCTGGCCTGGGTGGCTGGAGGGGGGCCTGGAGGAGGGCTCAGAGGGCAGGCAGGGGTCTCCCACTCTCCCAGGTGTCTGCAAATCAGGCATGGGGGTCCACAGAGACAGGAAAGTGGGGTGGGACCAAGGGTTGGAAGCTGTGCCCCACGCCGCAGACACAGATCTGACAAGGGGCCCGCAGGCTCTGGAGAGATGACAGGTGGCACCTACAGGTCACAACAGACGCTAGACACCATCCTGCCACCAGACACACCCCCAGAGGCCCTGGACCTCCTCAGGCTACTCCTGGTGTTTGCCCCTGACAAGCGGCTCAGCGCTGCCCAGGCACTGCAGCACCCCTACGTGCAGAGGTGGGGGCAGGCGCCCAAAGCGCAGGGGTGGGGTGGGAGCTGGAGGGGCTGCCTGACTGCAGCCAGCTCTCCCCTCGCCTATACCGGCCTCCCTGGTCCCCTGCAGGTTCCACTGCCCTGGCCAAGAGAGGACTCAGGAGGCGGATGTGCAGCTCCCAGTGCACGAAGGAGTCCAGCTCTCTGCGTCTGAGTATCGCAACCGCCTCTATCAGGTGCTCTGGCCCAGGACCCTCCTCATTCCCTATCCATGCGCACCCTTGAGGCTTTCTACCTCAATGACTCCCAAAGCCTCCACATCCCGATGTACACCTTTGAGCTCCCTCCTCTCCCACAGATGATCTTGGAGCGGAGAGGCAACAGCCACGTCCGGAAAGAGGAGGGCTTGGGGGTCGCCCCTCTACGAACAAAGCCAAGGCCCTCTGGGACCCAGGTGCACCTGCTCAAGCCCAGAACCGGCACCCAGCATCTCTCAAGGGCACCTGCACAAAACCCCAGACTCAGGCCTCAGAATAGCCCCAGTCCTGATCTGGAGCATGGTGTGTGGTCTTTGTCCCCCACGGAGCATGGGCTGGCCCCTTCTGTGTGGGACCCCTGCGTATACACAGCATAGGACTTCTGACCCCCAGGGTTGATCTTCCCATCCCATAGATTCCCCCAGTGCAGCAAGGGACATTTCCAGGCAGAACTTGGCCCCCCTGCCCCAACCTGCACCCCCTGGGACAGAGGCAGAGTCCCCCTCAGCACCCTCTCGGGTAAGTTGTGATGAGGTGGGCACAGGAGGAACCCATCTTCTGTACCTTTCAGTGACCCAATGATGCACCCCTTCCCAGGTGAAGCCCAACATGAGAGGGGTGGTGCCTTCCCTGACCTGGCAGGCTGCGGCCCAAGTAGCCAACCAAGCCTTGATCCGCAGTGACTGGACCCAGCCCTGTGGGGTGAGGGCGGCTGGCGTGCCACTGGTGAGGTCTGGTCCCAGTGTGGCCCCCTCCCTTCCCTGGCCTTCCCATTCCCCCAACCCCTCAAGGGCCTCCCCTCCTCTTCTCCCCTCAACCAGTCCCCCCTCAAGCTGACCCCAACTGCCTGCAGGTCCCTCCACGGCTGCCCTCAGAGCCCCGGCCTGGCCGGAGGATGTTCAGCTCCTCTGCCTTGCAGGAGGCCCAGGGGGCTGCCCGGGCCACACTCGGCGGCTACTCCCAAGCCTATGGTACCATCTGCCACTCAGCACTGGGCCGTCTGCCTCTGCTCCCAGGACCACACGCGTGAGCTGCTCTACCTGCCTTGGCCCCAGCCGCCTGAGTCCCCTCCCTCTCTGCATGGCCACATTCAAGTTTGGGGAGATTTGGCCTCTTTAGGGAAGATGAGGACCCCACCCGTCCCAATGACTTCCTCCAATAAAGGCTGTCTGTCCCCCACCTAACCATCCATTTTTCATCCACCCCCTTCTGAGGGGCTTCCTCTAAAGCCACATCACCTCCACCCCTTTCCTGGAGCCCATCCTTGTCTGAGGACCCTGCCACCCCTGAGCCCAGTGGGAAGATGCAGTGGCTACTGTCTGCTATCACCCTGTGGCTCCTGCCACGCGCCGCCTCACGGGCACCTAGCACAGGGCTTTTCTCCAGGCTCACGCCACCTAAGGCCAGCCTGTGGGAGCACCTTAGCTCCAGCTTCCTGTCCTCTGTCCATAGTGCCTTGCTGCCTGCACCATCAGACACCAGCCTGGGGCTGCTACAGGGTCCAGGCTGTACCTCGGGTGGGCCTGCCATTGCCTGGGTACAAGCCACCACAGAACCATGCTTACCACCCTAGACTAGAGTCCTGCTCCTCCCCTAGCCCCCAAATGTCCCCTGCCCTTTCTCCAAAGTTGGTGGCCACAGCCTATGTCCTGCCATCACAGTGACTGCACCTGGCTTGTCTCCAGGTCTTAGTAGGGGAGGGCGGGGGATGAGGTATCTTGTTGGGCTTAAGACTACCTCCTCTGGTTCCCCACCAGGCAAAGGACCTGGTGTGAGTTCAGGCCAGGGGTATGGTGGGCTAAAGAGATGAAAGGGGCCCAGTGGACACAAAGCTGTGTCCCATGGTACCATGGGTGCCCTGAACCGCATCTGACCCTGGGCTTAGGCCAGAACACAGCAGGGCCACATCCCAGCTGCCTGGCAGTAGAGCTCGAAGTCTAACAGGTACAAGTGCTGCTGTAGGGGTGGGGCTGCCAGGAGCAGGGAGTCCTGGTCTGTGACAAAAGCCACTGGCCACGCTGGGGAAGCCAGAGGACAATGTGTGGGCAGTGGGAGCTGAGCAGAAGGTGGGAGCTTGCACCACAATGTGCTGGGTCCAGACTGGGTGACCAAGAGAGATTTGGGAAGCAGAGAGAACTGGGCTTGGGGACGATTCAGAGGAGGCAGAGGGAGGAGAGGGAGGGGCCAAAGGTGAGCCACAGGTGGGGCCAAGGAGGTTGTTCCTGATGGGCAGCCGAGGAGGTTGAGCTTCCAGAGCCTGAGGCATCACCCCATGATGACTGATAAGCAGGACAGAAGAGGCCAGGGAGGGACTCAGGCTGGACAGGAGCTGCAGGATGAGGCTGGGATGGGCCAGCCGGACTTGGTGTGCACAGGCCCCAGGTGAGTGCCCACACTGAGGGCTGAGCATTGTGGGGAGGGGCACAGCCACGCAGCAGGCAGGGGCAGGAAGCAGGAGATGCTGGGGGAGGAGCTCGAAGGACACATGCGGAGGGGTCTCTACTGCTCCCACAGGGATGGGCGGTGGTGTCCACAAGGGAAATTGGGAAGGTCACCAATTTAGCTGAAGGTTAAAGCCTGTAACATATAACTAAGTGATTATATATATTTGGAATACATTGGAATAATTTGTGTATTGTGTTTTATTATTAACACCAAAATGTGCCACATCATGTTTTAGATGTCTTACTCAGCAAGATGTGGAGGGTGCAGGCAGGAGGCTCTGGGGGCCCATCTGTTCAGAACAGTGACATGCCAGGCAGCACCAAGACAAACCTGTTAGCACATGGGTGGACTTTTTCCACCTGGTCAAAGTCCCTGTTGTCACCCCCACTTTGATGGTGGCTTTAGTAACCAGTGAACTGTCAGGGAGTGAAAATGGGCTCATTTCCCTTTTCCAGCTGTTGGAGTAGGAAATACTTCAAAAATTTTTTTTTCTTTAGAGACAGGGTCTTGCTCTATTGCCTAGGCTGGAATGGAGTGGCACAATCATATTAAAATAGCTCACCATAACCTTGAACTCCTGGGCTCAAGCAAACCTCCTGAGTAGCTGGGACTACAGGTGTGCACCACCAATGCCCAGCTAATTTTTTCTTATTTTTTTGTGGAGATGGGGTCTTACTATGTTGCCCAGGCTGGTCTCGAATTCCCAACTTCAATTGATCTTTCTGCCTCAGGCTACCAGAGTGCTGAGATTACAGGTATGAGCTACCTTGCCCAGCCAAAACAAAAACGAAAACATCTATCTGAAGAAAAATAGCAGAATACAGAAACTAATTTCACAATGCTAACATCTAACAATGGGGGACTTTATAAGTATTTGGTACCAAAAGGTGTCATTCCAAGTCAATTAAAATTACTCTCTGAAGGTACAAAAAGATGTAAGACAGGTAAGCCAGGAAACTGGAACACATTCTGTGTGTTGGTGACAAAGGGGAAAGGGTCCAAGGACAGGGTGGAGTCAGGGTCTGCTGGGCACCTACAGGGCAAGGGCCACTCCAACCCGTAGGACCTGTGCCTCGTGGTGGGGCCCAAGCTCTACCACAGCTTGTCACCTGCCCTCATCTGGCCCAACACCTGTCAAGGACAGTGCTCTGCATCCAGCCTCTCTCTGGGATATGGCTTGTGATGGCACTTATGCACAGGACACTTCATGAAGCCGGGCCACAGGTCATCTGTCCAGACTATGTTTTATTGTGCTGCAAAGCCCAGTGCTGACCAGGGCCTTGCTACAGGAGTGGTTGGGCCTGGCCCAGGCAGCTTTGGTTTGGGCTGGCAAGGAACCCCCTTGGGGTCCCCTGTACCCCCTTCTCAGTAGCCCACCCTATCCAGCCTCCCTGTCCATCTGAGAAAGGTTTCCTTTGGGTCTAGCTCCACCCCTCCCTCTCAAATTGCCTGCAGTCAGCCCAGCCTTCCCTGCAGCAAGAGGACAGGCCACCTAGAAAGACGCCAGGAGAATCCACACAGGGAAGGAAGCAAGCCCGCAGCACTTGAGACAGAGGCAAGAGCGATGACCCCCAAGGGAGAGGCCCTGAGAAAGGGAGGGTGGGTCTGTCAAGAGACAGCAAGGAGGCTGGAGCCAAGGGCCCGTGCCTGAGGAGAGGGAACCCTGAGAACAGAAGCCCTGAGGAAACAAGAAGCCCCAGAAAGAATGGGGAGTTAAGGCACAAAGAGATGGGTCCCTGAGCTGAATGAAGTCCCAAAGAGGACGTGAGCCCAAAGAGGTGGCCAAGGCAGGTGCATGAGCCGGGAGGCTGAGGATCCTGAGAGAAGGGAGCTGGGGAGAAGCACCTTAGTGAAGGGCTGGAGCCCCACGGTTGGGGAGGCCAGCAGGTGAGCCCCACTCTGGCAGCACTCACTCCAAACTTCCCTAGCACGAGGGCCTGGCAGCCACCACTCAAGCACAAAAGGGTGGCTCTCCTTGCCCAGCCATGCTCTGGACGATGGTGGCAGTGATATGGCCACCCTGGCCTGGGCTGGTGAGCTAGGACACTCATTTCTTGCCTTTCAATGTGCCCAGGATTTTGGGCACGAACTTGCCAACCTTGCTGTCCCTGGTGCCCTCCTCTGCAGGGTTCTCCCCTGACCCAGGCCCGCCGGCCTCCTCCTTTTTGCAGAAGACCTCGAAGCGGCTATACACTCGCTTCTCCTTGCGCATGCTCTCCATGCGGCGCAGCAAACGGTCGCGCTCCTCCGCGCTGGCTGGCAGAGTGCGGCTCAGCCGGCCTTGGGTCCCCAGGCTGTCCGAGCGAAAGATGGCTGAACACTTGTCCTTGTCGGACATATCTGGGGCCAGGCCGCCAGCAGCTGGTGGATGGCCTAGTTCAGGGCTGCTGTGGGCCGGGCTGGGGCCTGGGGCAGGGACCCCACGGTGCTTCTGGCCGTGGGCACTAATCTGCTCCAGAATTGCCTTTGTGTCATCCCGCAGGTTGCTGCTATACAAGGCATTGGCTGTGGCTGAGGCCAGGCGCGACCGTGTGCCCCGCTCGTCTCCTGTGGCAGCCTCTGCACTGTCACCCCGGCCCAGCGACCGCCGCCGGGGACTCTCCGGCTGCCCGTTCTCCTGCGGCACTTGGAAACCAGTCTCATCCTCCGAGCGCCGCTCACCCTTGGGGCTCAGCAGCTGCCTGAGGCGCAGGGAGCCCTTGCGCAGGACTTCCATGGGGCCGCCCACGGTCTCCTCTGCTGGCCCGGTCTTCGGAGACTCCCCGGAGGTGAGGGTGAGGCTGCCTCTGCGCTCAGGCACCGGGGGCACTGGACTGCCCCTGCGCTCAGGCACCGGGGGCACCGGGCTGCCCCTGCGATCGGCCACTGGGGGGATTGGGCTGGTTCTGCGCTCAGGCACCGGGCTACCCCTGTGCTCCGGGTAGGCTGAGGTGGGGCTACCTTTCTGCTCAAATCCTGCCGTTGGGCTGCTTCTCCGAGTGGAAAACCCAGGTGTAGGGCTCCCCTTCCGCTCAGGGTAAGCCGAGGTAGGGCTCCCTTTTGGCTCAGAAAGAGGCACATGTTGTGCCCCAGGCCCCTCCAGCATCAGGGGCTTGTCCGGCCCTTGCGGGGACGTAGAGCGACCCTGGGCAGAGAGTAAGCGGGATGGTAGGCGGTCAGTGCCACCCCGGCCCAACGTGTCGAGAAGCTGTGCAGCAGTGAGCGTGGCGGCTCCTGGCTGTCGCTCGGCTTCCTGGTGCAGCCGCTGTGCAAAAGAGTCGCGCAGGTCTAGCAAGCAACTCTCCAAGCTGCGGCGCTCACCCCCCACGCCTCCTGTTGCCGGCACTTCTTCCCGCCACGCCTGGGACACTACAGCCTTGCTGTGGCTGGAGACAGTGACCGCGCCCCCAGCACCACTGGGGTCACGGCCCGGGCCCTTGTACTTCTCCAGTAGCTCCGCCACTTTGGCGGAGGCCGAGGAGCGCACAGCTTCTCCGCCAGGACCCAGCATCTCGCTGACCGTCTGCTCCTTGTGCAGCAGCTGCACTTTTTCAGTGCTGGTCCCTGCAGCCCCGCCCCCACCCTCAGCCTGTGACGCGCTGAAGATGAGCGAGGAGCGCAGCCTTGAGCTGCGCTGGATGAGTGGGTTCAGGCGCGAGCGGAAAGAGTCCTGCTTGGCCAGGCCTGCCTCCTCCTGGACCTCGCCGCCACCGCTGCCTGAGCCTGGCACCGGGCCCTTGGTAGGGAAGGCTGCAGGGACGCGGAAGGCCGAAGGGAGCAGGTCCCCGGCGGCTGCCCGACCCCCGGTAGCCAGCACATCGTCTTCATAGACCTCGGCTTCCATGGGCACCGGCAACCCCTCATCGCTCGCATCTTCCCCGTGGCAACCGCTCAGGTAGGAGGCGAGGCGCCAGTGCCGCAGCCCTGCCCGTCCCTCGGGCCCACCCCTGCGCTCCGGCTCCGCCTCTGCTGTGCTGTCTGGGCCCGGCCTCGCTGCAGCCTGGCACGGGAAGCGCTGGCCCAGGTTGGGGCGCAGGGCCCCGCTAGGTTCGAGGGCGCGGAGGCCAGGGCCAAAGGCGGGATCTGAACCGTGGCGCACCTCGCGCGACGCGCTAGACGGCACATAGTCCAGCCGCTGGTGCCCGTCGGGACCGAGCTCTGGGAAGCGGGGCCCAGCGCCCAGTGCAAAGTCATCCGGGTCCACAAAGCCTGGACGGCCACCGCGAAGCTTCTCGAACAGGCCCTGCGGGCGCGCAGGTGCGAGCTGCGGGTCCCACTGGTAATGCTGCTGGTAGAGTTGCTGGTCACGGTGGAAGTGGCTGGTCTGGAAGCGGAAGTCGTCGCCGTGGCTAAGGAACGTCTGCCGTGATACCTGCCGCGCTGCAGCAAAGTTCTCCACGGCGCCCGCGCCGTCCGCGGTGGCATAACTGTGCCGCTTGAAGGCGTCCATCTCCAGGTGCCGCGCCTGGAATAAGCCCCGCTGGCCGGCGAACTCCCCCGCCGGCCCGGCCTCAGCATCCAGCCGCCGCGACAGTGGCCTCAGCCCCGCATGCGGCTCCAGAACGCCCCCTGGCATCCGCGGCTCCTCCCGGCGGAAGGCCGACAGGAAGTGGCGGTCGGGGTCGAGGAAAGAGGGGAAGCCCAGACCCTCTTCCCGGGGTGGTGGGAACAGGAGGTGCGCTCGTTTCGGGAAGGAGAAAGGGGTTGGCGCCCCGACCCCAGGGACACCCACCAGGGGCCCAGCCCCCGCGTACGGAGCCAGGGCGTAGGCATCCATGCGGGCCAGAGCCCCAGCTGAGGGCACCAGCGGCTCAGACTGTGCGAAGAGAATGCGGAACTCCTCGTCGAAGCTGGAGACCAGCTCGCCCTGGAAAACGTGCGCCAGGCTGCGGTGGATCTTCTCGAAGGACCACATGAAGCTGTGGACGGATCGGGCCAGAGTCAAGGCAAGGGAGTGGGCCAAGCAGGCACAGGCTGGGTGGGGAGAGGTTTGGGGATGCGAGCGTCTGCGAGGACCAGGGCGGGACAAGCCCGACTGTGGCGGGGCTGCAGCAGATGATGGCCCTAGTGGGGTTCCGGGGCTCCAGGAGGCAGCCCTCGGGGAAGGGCTGGAGGGGCGAGGGCTGGGGGGCAGTGGGCTGGGCGCACCTGTAGCTCCCGCTCATCACCACAGCACAGTCCACCAGCAGGAACTTCTCTTTCACGTGGCCCTTGAAAGACTTCCCCGTGCGGCAGTAGTAGGTGGGGCCTGCCACTGTACGCACTCGTAGGAACTGGGGCAGGAGGGGAGTTAGGTCTCTGCCTGGGGTCTTTCTCCTTCCTCCCCTCCTCTACCCTCCCCTCTCCCCATAACTCACATCCACGTGGTGCAGGTTGACTCGGCACTTGTCCGCCATATCCAGGAAGTGCTGCGCATTCATCTCATCCAGTAGGATGTAGACTGGGACCCGGCGTGCTGCAGCCTCTAGCACTTCACTGAGCAGGTCCACATCAGTAAACATGTCCATCACCACCGCCACCACCTGGGGGGTGCAGGTCAGGACAGATGGCCAGACTCCCCTGCAGTCCCAATGCCATTCTCCAGTCTTACCTCCAAGCCCATGGATCACCCACAAACACTGTACGGTGGCCACTCACCTCTCTAAGGGGAGAGTAGGGCCATGTCTGTGAAGGTGGGTGTGGAGGAAGAAACCCAGGAAGGGGGTGTGGGCCTGCTGCTTGGGTTGGTGGTCCATAAGGAATCCCAAAGCAGAGCAAGGCCTGCAGGCTCACTCCTGGGCACAGAACCCTGGTTGGAGATGGCCAAGGCAGGGGGAGTCTTGAAATACTTTTGCCCTACAGATGGCTAGGCTGCCCCAGCCTCAGTTCTGCCCTGTGAGTGGGTCACTACTCGGGGCAGGGGTCTTTAGCATCTGACCCTCCTGCCTCAGTCTCCATGGTTTAACAGGCTTCCTCTGCCGTTTGCCAACTGCTTGGGGTTAAGGGGGCTAAGAAGCTCTCAGCTGGCTAAAGGCCATCCAGGCTGGGAGAGTGCTCTTCCCTCCCAAAGCAACTGAGTTTCCAGGCACTGGCCATGACCATGGGCAAACAAACCTGTGCGGAACTTGCAGCCTGTGGTGGCCACACCCTTGGCAGCCCTGGAAGAATTCTGCCAGTGAGCCCCCGCCGCAGCTTGAGCCCTGGGGCTCACCCCACCACAAGCTGGCCATGCTTTGTGGTACCCCCCTCACTTCCACTCCTGTGTGCACTCAGGCCACCCTTCCCTACTGCCTGCCCACCACGCTGACACACCTGCTGGGCAGAACGGATCATCCTGCGAGCCTCCTCCTTGATGCTGGGGCTGTCAGGTGGTGGTGGCTGCACCAGTGTGGTTACCTCTGTGCCCTGGAATCCGAAGGTCAGGGGCCAGCCCAGGTCAAGTTCAGGCACAGCCTGGTCTGAGTTCACTGGCCAGTAGGTGCCTGATGAGCCATCCATGTCCACATCGGGAGGGCTGCCTTCAGGGGGCTCTCGGGCCACATACTGTGGGGGCCGCAGGTGGCGGCTCACATGTTCCAGCTCCTCAGGGCACAGGAAGTCAGGTGCCCCCTCGGATGCCAGGAAGCGGCTGTAGGCCTCTGACCCACCCTCGGCCAGCGCATCCACTGCCAGGCGGTAGTACTCTTTGTAGTGAGGCGGCAGGTACCCGGGTGCCAGCGGGTTGTCCCCCTGTGAGGAGCACTGGGATCGACGGGCCATGTTGGGGCCAGGGGCCTGGAGGGGCAGGGAGACGGGTTACCAGGGGCACTGGGGACCACATCCCCTACCTTCTCAAGTGGACACACATGTAGGGGGACTGTCAGTGACCTTGAGTGGGCTGGAGTTTAGCCCCTGCCTGGGAGACCTTCCGGGGGACCAGCCAAGCCAGGCTCACAGAGAGTGCCCCAGAGCCCAGTATGCCCTCTAGCCAGGGGGCATCAGCAGAGTGCCAGGGCACAGGTACCCCAGTCCTGTCTCCCCTTCCTCAGGCCTCACTAGCTGGGCCCTTGCTCTCACCAGCACCCAGGAGCTGCCCCCTCCCTCTTTATGACTTTTATGGCTAGATGTTTTTGTTTTGTGGGTCTCTTCCTCTGTAGATATATTTAAAATATTTTATGACTTTTGCTTTAAACACAAATATAATCCAGGTTGGGACCACTGTTATGATATTCACTTTTTTCTTCCTATTCTAAGACATTAACATTTTCATGGGCCCCTAGCACTGTTTCTGCAGGACAAGTTGGTGCTGCCCACACCACCTGTGTATCTGTCCTGGAACAACTCAGACACCCTGGGCAAGTCAAAGTTCCTCTCTTGCCTGTTACCTCCACTGTATAGTGTAGTTAAGGGCTGGCACCACACCTGGCCCAGGTGAGCGGTGAGTGCAGCAGGCAGGGCTACTGATGACAGCCTTCAGCCCCACCCACAGCTCCTCCCCATCCTCAGGGTCTTACACTCTGACCTTCTGGCCCTGGAAGGCTGATCCCTAGACCTTGTCCCTGTCTACCAGCCCCCTTTCCTTTGGCCCACTCCTTGACATCTATCTTGCCACTGTCCCATCCTACATAAAACCTTCCTGGGCTCCACTCCATGTGTCCTGGTGCCTACAGGTCCCTGCAGGGCCTGCACTTCACACCCTCATAGATGTGGCTCTCCATGTGCTCAGAGTCCTGTCCCTGCCAGGCCCAGCCCTCTTCAAGTCTTGGGGCCACTACCCAGCCCCTTGCTGCATTCAGAAAGAAGTCAGAGCCTTTCACTGTGGCTGTGGGGCTTGTCTTGGGGCCCCCAGCCTACCCCGTTCTCCAAAGGGCCTCTGTGGGGGCCTGGCCTCTATTGGGCTCCCAGGGCCCATCCGCACAGGATCACTTAACTACCTGAATACCTGCCTACCTCCAGCCCAGGAAGGAAAGTCCTAGAGATTGCTCACCCCATCCCCACTGCTCCTCAGGTTGGGGACGGGCCCCTGTCCTGCCTAGCACATGGGCTCCCAAATGTTGGTCCTAGCTGAGGAAGCAAAGTGGTTCTGCCCAGATGGAGGTGTGTGTCCCTGACATGCAGCCGTGCGCAGCTGATGGGGGCAGTGGCCTGCTGGACTGCACCAGGGTTGGAAGGAGACATTTGCCTGAGCATGCTAGGCTCAGGAGCCTACAGTATACAACCCAGGCAGCTGTCCTGTCTGGTTTCCCTGGTGGGTGACCCACTAACTGGACACTGAACATGAAGTGGGGATGGGAGGTGGGGGATACCTTTGTGTACCACTCAGTCCACCAGGCCCAGAGATGCTTCCAGGCCCAGTTGTCTCAGGAAAAGCCATCGTGACATTTCTTGACTACATCCAGTCCCCTTTGTGTCTGACGTATGGGGGCAGGGCACACTGTCCTGGTTGTCCCAGGAGCAGACTGAGGCAGACCACGTGGGGGTGAGAGGTGCAGGCCTGTCTGTGCTGGGGTCTCACTGTTCCTTCTGATTTTACTGTGGAGGGGAATCCACATACACTGTCCAGGCAGTGCGAACAGGGCAGGCCCCTGAGGTGAGAAGCCCTCCCAGCAGACATGACTGGTCAGCAAGGGGCACCCCAGGCCTCAGGGGCCCCACCAGGTGCCCACTCAGTCTCCAGCAGCAATACCCACGACCTTCAGTATCTTCACTCCTTGCCCATTTCCTTTCATGGGTCTTCACACCCCTGGACTGTGCACTGGAGACCCCCAACAGCCTGCTCCCCACACATTTGCCTACCAATGCCTGCCCAAGGGGAGAGGGCTATCCCACCCTGTCCAGTGACTCAGCAGGAACTAGCTCCTCTGCCGCTGACCTCTGCCCTGAAGCCAGACAGTGTCTCCAGGGCCCTCACCTCAGACTTCAAGGGCCCTATCCTTCTCACCCTGGAAGTGGGGTGCCTAAGTGCCTGGAAGGAGGATCCCATGAAAACAATCTGAGGTCCCACACAAAGTGGGGTGACCCTGTGCCAAGTACCCGTGGGGGAGGCGGGTGTGGGGGTACTGGGCAACGGGGAGGTGGACTGAAAAGCGGGATTTGGGCACACAGGGTTCACAGACCGGAAGTCGGCGTTGTAGCTTGCGGGTGGTCACCAAAGAGCCAAAGGAGGTTAGTGTACTCAGCAAGTTAGCCTGCACTGGCTGTGTGTCTCTTCCGCCCACCCCAGTCCAGGGATGTGGACCGAGGGACAGGCGTCCCTTCAGTCGCCTTTCTCCACGCGAGACTACAGGCCGTGCCCTGCCCACCCCAGCCCATGGCGGTCTGGGCAGGGCGTCCCCAGGGAAGGGTACAAGCCATGTCCAGCACCCTCTCCATACTCTAGCTAGGCCACAAGGGCGGGAGCGGGTTAAGACGGCCGGCAGGCCCTAGCCGGGCCCCTGGCCCTTTCCTTCTAGGCTCTTCCTGGGCCAGCGACGTGCGAGGACGCTCACGTCCGTATCGGCACAGCAGCGCCTCGCGCCGCCAGTCTCCGCGCGCGGCCGCGCTCCACTCCCACCGCCCCCTCGGGGTCGCATGGCCCCGGCCCAGGTACAAGCGGGGGGGGGGTAGAGAAGGGGGGCTGCCCAGGTGGGGCCGCGCCGAGGGGCACCCGCCCGGCCTCTGCCTCCCGCTCGCTCCGCCCCGCCCTACTCGGGCCGGGGGAGGGGGCCCTACCTGGCCAGGTGCGCGGGGTCTCGGCACAGGGGCAGCAGGAGCCGACCGCCGCCCAGCGGCCTCGCGGTCCGGTCGGTCCGGCAGCCACTCCCTGCCGCGGCCCGCCCGCCCGCCCGGCCTGATTCACGCGCCCGCCCCCGCCCCGCCCGCCGCTCCTGCCTCCTGCCTGCCCGGGCAGCACCTGGGGGCGGGGCGGCCCCACCCGCGGCGCGCCTGCATTCCTGCGCCCGGCGCCCGCCGCAGCCCCAGCCACCGCCACCGGCCCCTGGCCAGCCTCTGGATCCCGCCCCAAGTCCCTGGACCCCAGCCCGCCCCCGACCCCCGGCCTGCATCATCGGCCCCCGGCCCTCCGCCCGGACTCGTCGGTGCCCTGAAGCCACGCGCCCTGGGACCCTGTCCCCACGCTGCCGGAGACCACCAAGGCCCCTACTTCCAGGAGTCCGAGACCCCAAGAACCCATCTGTTAACCGAGGCTCAAAAAAAAAATCCCTAGCCTGACCCCTGACCCTCGCCCCGGAAGACGGGGTGACTCGGAAGTTCCGGCTCAGTCGCTAGGAAACAGGCCAGCCAGACGCGAGGGGCGGGGCTTCTAGCAAGTCGAGGGATACTGGTAAGGCAGGTGAGGCTGCGAGGGCGGAGCCGGGCCCAGGACGGAGACGGGCCTGGGACAGAGCCAAGCCTGGGGATCCGGCGAGCACATAGGACCTCTAAACACTGACTCCTCCATGCCCATACTGATCCCCACAAGTACCCCAGAGGCACATAGGGACCCTGCACGCACAGGCCCCGACCGATCCCTGATCATTCTCTCCCATCCTCCCACACCGACGCCCACACTTATAAGGGACCCTACACACACTAACCTCCCATGCACACCGACCCCACAAGCACAGGAGCCATCTCAGGAACACAGAACCCTGCAAGCATACCAAGCCCTGCACATGCCAGTCACAGACACATAGCTGCACATACAGGGGACCCCACCTGCACCTGGGGATCCTTCAGGCACTGACCCAACACAAAGTGGATGCCACATCCGACAATCCCCCATACATACTGACTCTGAAAACACAGGGATCTTCCCTCACACATATAGGACCCCATGTGTATGTGGAGAGCACTCCACCCACACCGGGACTGGGTATGCCCACCAAGCCCCACATACTGACACGCTCCCCCCATGCACATATTGACCTGTTCACACACCACCCCCCAGCTGCCCCTCAGGCCTTGGCGTAGGGCTCATCCCCCAAGTAAGGCCCTGCCCTACACTAAGCCATCTGTCCAAGCCAGACCCTACTGCCCTGCTACTCCTGCCCCAGTGCTGGCCGTGCTGGAACCCTTTCTGCCAGTCTTCAGTCATCTTGTTCCTCCTTGTCCGTCTTGCCATGTGATCCTATTTTCTCTGTTTTCAGGGTCACTCCCAGTTTCATTAGTTCCTTCCCCCAATCAGCGATACCCACTGGTGCCAGCACGGTGGGAACATGGTCAGATCAGCACCCAGGCAACTGCACTGCAGTGGGTGCAGGGCTCTGGGGCACCAGGGAGGACCCTTACCAAGCTAGAGCAGGCAGGAGAGGCCTCCCAGGGGCAGTGAACTTGGGGACCAGCTGCATGGGCTAGAGAGAGGGGTGTTGCTCCCAAGACCTTATAACAGCATCTGCCAAGGCCAGCACAACAGAATGTCTGAGGGTGGGAAGGGGTCAGTGTCCCGGGGGTGCAGGGGGTCAGGCTCACAGTCAACTTGGTTCTGAGGGCAGATGAGAGGCATGGTGGCTTCAGCAGAGGGGGTTTCACACATACCTGGACATTAGGACAAAGGCTGTCCAGCTGGTAGCCCCACAGCAGGAACAGACAGAAGGCTACTGTACACTAGACTCTGGGGCCCAGCAGGATGGGATAAGCCAGGGGTGGAGCTGGCAGGCAAGTGAGGATGGGGGGCACAGCTGCAGGGCCAGATGTTCTTGCCTTGCTCAAGCTGCTGGGCACACGCTCAGATAACTAGGGGCAGGCAGGCAGACCAGGAACCACTCAGGAAGCTGTGCTTGGGGAGCCTGTGTTCCTGCAGTCTGTCCACCCAGGTCCACAGCAGTCTGTGATGTTGTTCCCCACTGCCCCGCCTCTGCCACTCTCAGCATACCCTCCCTGCACCTTTCCTACCCACCTCCCAGGAGAATGAACAGTAAGAAGAGTGCGCCCAAAGCTGCATCAGGGAAGAGGCAAGCATCTCTCCTGGGGCCCAAGCCAAGAGCTGCTGCTGGTGAGTGTGCCCTCTAGCCTCCAGGGCACTGCCACCCAAACACTGACCTGGGAGACCCTCTATGCAGCCACCTAGGGACCCCCCCCCCAGAAGAGTGGCCTTCAGGGATCTCCAAGTTGGGCTTGGGTGTGACATTCATCCAAGACCCTGGCCCTGAGTCTTGTACCCCTGGAGCTGGGATGGGGGCTGGGGGCAGTGCTCAGAGGAGCACAGCTTTAGAACACATAGAGATGGGAGGGGACAGGAGTGAATGGGAGGGGCCCAGGTGACAGAAACTGGGTTTTGAAACAGGAACAGGGCTAAATCTAAGTTGGGGGTTCTCAGGCTAAGTATGTGGTCCACTCTGACTTTCTGCTCCTTCTAGGCCATCTTGTGCTTTTCTCTGCTGCTTCTTTGCTCCCAGGCCATCCTCTCCATTGCTACTTCCAGGTTGAATGGTGACAGCTCTCCTGGGCTCCATCTTGCTGTAGAGGTCTAAAAAGGGACCTCCACCCATGCCCACCCCCTTCACCAGTTATCACACCCCTCCTCTGAGCCCCATTTATTCTCTGTCATGGCTCAAACACCTTCAAGGCTGCAGCTCTAGGGCCCTCCAGCACCCAGGCCTGCACTGGGGTCTGTGATTGCTAAGAGAGCACCTTATCCTGCTTCCTAGATGCAGCCCCTCTGCTCAGAGCAGGACTGGACCAAGCTCCTGGACACCAGAGAGCTCCCAGATTCACAGGATCTGGTGGGATGGTGGTGACTACTCTTCGGCACCACGCTGGGTTTAAATCCTCATTCCTCAAAATAACCCCAGCTGCATCTGAGGCCTGCAGCCCTCCTGGAATGAGGATAATGGGCACAGGCCCCGCGTGCTGCTATGTGATCTCAAGCCCTGAGTAGACGCCTCCAATAAACAGGGGCAGGGCAGGCAGACCAGCAAGCTGGCCAGGACACTGTGTTGGGGGGCCTGTGAGCCTCAGTTCTGCTACCTGCTAACTGTGCACCCAGGCCCTCGCCCCACAGGTCAGCCCATACACTGCCCTGGACAGCCCCTGCAGCTGCCTGCCCTCACCGACACCTCTGTCCCTGCACAATTACCCACCTTCCTCCTGTGAAACAGTGGGCCAGGCTGGGTGTGCTTGCTGTTGCTTGGTTTTGCAGTGCCTTGTGCAGTGGGCACCAGCCTTACTTGGCAAATGTAAAGATGGTCCCACAGCCAGCCTGGCACCCTGGCCCTCCACAGGCATCTGTAGGTTGCTCAAGTAGCCACCACACCAACACAGACTGTCTGGAGCCCCTTCTCCCGCCCCGTCCAGGCCTTACCTGGCCTTGGGTCTGCAGCACCTCGAGACCCTCGTTGCGCAGCTGCTCCAGGGCCATGGCCAGCTGCAGCCCCTCCAGGTGCACCCAGGCCTGCTCTTCCTGCAGCTGCTGCAGCCAGGCCTGCTCCTCCTGCCACATCTGCATCTGCAGCTGGACCTGCCGCTGCCGGTCCTCCAGCAGCAGCTGCTCCTGGGCCAGGCACAGCTGGACCTCATGGAGCCTCAGCAGTTCAGGGCCCAAGGTGGGCATGGGAGCCCCTGCCCCACAGTGCTCCATAGGCCCAGTGAAGACTAGCACTGGCTCAGACCCCGGAGCAGTGGCCTGCTGTGGCCTTGAGGCTGCCTGTGGCTGCTCTGGCCTGGCCTCCCTGGGGTGTCCCTGGGTAGCAGGCTTGGTGCTGGTCACGTGCCCTGTAGGGGCCACCCCCGTCTCACCCTGAGGGCCCCCTGTGTTGGGAGGCGGGGGCTCAGCCTCAGGGCCCTGCTCAGCCACCTGCTGGGCCCTGCCAGCCTTCCTGGCTCGGGATTTGCGAGCTCGACCTCGTTTCCCAGACATGGCCCTGGATGCGTGCGGCGCGTCTTTGACCCGATGTCTGCTCCCTAGGGGCCCTGGCTCCTCAGCTGGCCAGCCTCAGTCAGACCAGCTCAGAGGAATCCATGGGAGGCTACAGTGGCTGCTTGCCCCATGCCACGCTCGGCCCCTGCTCCTGTACTCCCCGGGTGCCTGCCCTGCCCCTTGGCTGGTGCTCGCAGCACTGCGGCTCCTGGCCTGGCTCTGCCTACAGGCCTCACGGGCCCTACTCGGTGGGGCTGGGCCACGCCAGGGAGTTTATAGGGACTCGGCGGCGCGGTGGCTCACCCAGGCCAAGAAGGCTGACTAACATGCTGACACAGGGCGCAGGACTTTACGGGCCACGGGCCTCGTTGGCCAGACTGGGAGGGAGACTGAGAGAAACTGGAGGAGGCAGCTCTCAGCAGCTAGACTGCCGGCTGCATACTGAGAGCTGGCGTGCCTGGTCCTGCCCTGGGCGGATACTGAGGCCCCCCCACCTGCCCCACCCCAGCTCCCCCATCCCTCCCCTGGTCACAGGAAACTCAAACTGCAGGCCACAGGCCCAGGAGCTGCATCCTGGCCTCACTGACTGTTGGGACCCAGGCCCTCACTGGCCACAGACAACCCCAACTTAACTGGCCATGGGAGCCCCCATCCCAGCCCACCCCGAGCTCCCGTGGCCCAAACAACTCTCAGAGTTAGTGTGATCAGGGAGTCCTGCTGGGCTTTGAGCTTGCTTGGGGTGCTCTGTGGAGACAAAAGAGCCAGTTGACCCAGCATGGTGGACTCCTGCCTGGATGGAGCTTGGCCACTGCTGGGGGCTTGTGGAAGAGAATGGGCCTTCAAAGGCCCAGATGGCATTTTGTGGATTGAGATGGGGCAGAAAGAAAGAGTTCTGCCTGCCCCTGGGGGCAGGGTGGGGGCTACTGATGCCATCCTAGTTGGGGGTCCAGCTGCCCTGCTCACTGAAACCAGGGCCTGCCTCTGGGCCTGTAGGATGGGGATGCAAGGCCAGCCTCAAATGCTGGTTCCCTGGGCTTCTTGTGGGAGGGCGGGTTCCAGATGGCCTCCTCCCTAGCATTTCCCCAGCCCGGGGCCGCTGACTCACACCCACGCCCAGGGCCCTCATCTCAGCCACAGCTGTCTCTGCCACACTGGCTGGACTGGTTTGCCTGGTGCAGCCTGCTCAGGGCACCCCCCTCCTGGTCAGCCCTTGCCACATAGGCTTCAGGAGGAGATGGACAGCCACTACCAGAAGAGCACTAAGTTGGACACACAGAGATGGGAAAGGGCCTGGGAGGGAAGTGGCACAACTTCAGGGTCGGGGACAGTGTTGGAGGGGCAGGACCAGCAGGCAGGACTGTGGAGGATCAGCTAGTGAGGTCTCCTACCAGAGGCTGCATCATGTCGATCCCGGGCTCACAAGAGCCTGAGGCTTCAAGACCCAAGTGCAGGTGCATTTCTGTCTGCTGGCCCCCCCAGCACTGTCCCCCACCCGGCCCCCCCACACCACCCCAGGGCAGGGTAGTATTTGCTGTTGGAGGACGCTGCCTAGCTGCTCATTAAAGGTGTCGCGTGGGCTCACCTCATGAGGAGGCTGCGGTGGGAGCGCCCTAATAGCCAGGACGCATCGGCCCTTCCGGTGCCCCATAAATGCCTCCGGAGATCGAAGGGGGACCTCCCACCAACTGCACTGACAGGCCCCTTTCCCCAGGGAAGCCCGGAGAGAACCGCCAACCGCAGAGGAAGACAGGCGGGCAGGCGAGGGAGGCGGCGTCCCCCGAGAGCCCCGCGGTCCCTGCAGGTGAGAGTCCAGTGCCCCTGGGGATGGGGCGGGCGAACCGGACCCGCGCGGCCCTGGACAGCCACTGGACACGCTCGGCGTGGGCGCGCATGCGTGTGCATGTGCACGTTCATGGTCGCCTCGGGCAGGCCGTCGCTGCCCTAGCCGGCCGCCTCCCCGCGCTTTCCGTGCCCCACGCCGCCCGGGGGCGCGGCCCCTCGGAGCGACCCTGTCCTCAGTGCCTCAGGCCCTCGCGGTGGTCGGGGCCGTCCCCGCGGGTCCTCGCTCTGCATGCGGCGCCCTCTGGTGGCAGGAGAGGGAGCCGCCGAGGCGGCCGGACTGGATGTCCGCGTGAGACCCTGGGCCTCAGCCCCAGGCCCTATCCTCTCCTCGGCTCTCCGTGGCTCCCACTGCGGTCTCCTCGCTGCTCCTAGACGGGATCTTCAGCTCACACCAACCCCTTCTCCCCCGCCCCCGTGACCCTTCTCCCTTGACAGCTCCCCCCAGTGACCCCATGTCCTGCCTCCTCCCACACCCAGATCTTTCTGTTCTCTCTGCCCTGGTGCCACCAGCTCCTCTTCTCCCATTCCACCCTGCCCTCAACCGGCCTCCGCCTCCCACTCTGTTTCTCTTAGTCTGTTCTCCACATGGGGTCAGATTCCCATCCCACACTCCCCTGACGCTGCTTCGTCCCTGCTTAACGTTGGGCCATGCTGGCTGACCCTCCAGATAAAGTTCCAGCACCTCCAGTCACCTGTGCACCCCCAGCACCTCCAGTCACCTGTGCCACTCCCAGCACCTCCAGTCACCTGTGCACCCCCAGCACCTCCAGTCACCTGTGCACCCCCAGCACCTCCAGTCACCTGTGCACCCCCAGCACCTCCAGTCACCTGTGCCATTCCCAGCACCTCCAGTCACCTGTGCCACTCCCAGCACCTTCAGTCACCTGTGCACTGCCCCTCAGGTGCCAGGATGAGAAGTCTGAAACTTGTCCGAAGGTGTGTAAAGTATGGATATTGCTTTATGAAAGTTGTATATGACCTGGATTTTGCACAGTAGAAACAGATTCTATGAAATTCAAGCAGAATAGAATGTATTATAATGATATGCAGTAGTTGGAGCTGTGGGCTTGGAAGAGGGGCAGAAGTGAGAGAGGAAGCAGAGAACACAGGCAAGGCTCAGCCCTAGGCAAAGTCTGGTGACAGCATCTCTGTCCCTGAAGGCCAGCACTGCTGCTGGCCTCTCTGCTGCAGCTCCACCAGGAACCATCTATTCTTCCTGTGCCTTGGTGTCACCTGCTCCACATCCAGACTCCTGGTGGGAAATTGAGAGGTTCTAGTCTTGCATTCAGTGTTGGGAAGCAGGTGTGGATGGCCCATTTTGCTCTCTGTAGAGGGAGTGGGCTCCTGTTGCTTTCTCCAGAACAGCCCCTACCCTCACAGCACAGGAGTCCCAGAGCCTTCTGCAGGCTGTTCCACTCTGAGGCCGGCTGTTCTGGGACGTGGAGTAAAGTGAGCCCCCTGGACCCTGCTGTGCTGTCTCCTTTTGCTACAAGAGGGGGTCCCAGTGCCAAAGCAATGCCTTGCCGGTGCCAGGACTGCATGGGGGAGTGGGTGGGAAGGACTGTGCACACCCAGGAGGAAGGTGTATTTTAGCCAGCATAGATGGTGCACCTTTCATGTGGAAGAGGTCAAATAAAAGTGTTCTGCCAGCGGGCCTGGTGGCTCATGCCTGTAATCCCAGCTCTCTGGGAGGCTGAGGCGAGAGGATTGCTTGAGCTCAGGAATTTGAGACCAGCCTGAGGAAGAGGGAAACCCTATCTCTACCAAAAATAGAAAAAAAATAGCCAGTATGGTGGTGCACTCCAGTAGTACCAACTACTCAGGAGGCTGTGGCAGGAGGGTCCCTTGAGCCCAGAAATTAGAGGTTGCAGTGAGCTAGGCTGACACCACTGCCCTCTAGCGTGGTGACAGAGTGAGACTCTGTCTCAGAAAATAAATAAAATTAAATTAAAAGAAATCCATTCCATTGCATGGCGATAGAAGGTTAAAAAAAGAAGAAAAAAAAGAGCTCTGCCTGCAGGTGGTGGACTTAGGGATGGGACTTAGGGTAGAGAGTGTGTGTAGGCTCTGCCCCATGGCCATGGTTGTGGGGCTCACGTGCCCTCAGCACAAGTCTTGCTGACTCAGAAGCTTCTTTGATAGGACACCTGGTCACCATCACATGGACACACTATTTTAACACTCTGGGGCTATTCCAAGAAGTCCATCCCAAGAGCATCTTCCCCCAGCCTCCTCGTCACTGCCTCAGCCCTGCTCTCTCCAGCTTTCTGCTGATCTGTCCAAACCGTCAGCCAGAGCATACAAATCATAAGGAAGGTTTGTCCAGCATGGACAGTTTCTGGTCTAGATCAGTCTTGAAAAGAGGGGTTCGTGTTGTTGGGGTAGCCACCATCTCTGCCACCATGGCCACTCTGTCCCAGGGCCCGCCAGCTGCCATCCACAGAACAGTCATGATGTCCACCCTGCTCTCCACACCTCCTCTGCAATGGACTCTCTCTGGGGGCATCACTATGAAGCACAGAGCCAGCCCCAGGAGCATGGTGCTCCCATATCCCTGATAGGTGCATCCCCTAACCTTTAAAATTTTTTTTTCTTTTTTAGAGGCAGGTCTCTCCTGTCACCCAGGCTGCAGTGCAGTGGCACATTCATAGCTCATTACAGCCTCAGCCTCCTGGACCCAGGGAATCCTCCTGCCTCAGCTGGGACTATAGGTGTGCACCACGAAACTCATTGACCCCAACCTTCCCCAGGTTCCCACATCCTGGTTATCCGGAGCTTGTCCATTTCAGGCTCCTGATGAACCAGCCCAGCCCCTTGCAGTGCCCAAGTCAGATGCAGCTGTCAGGTGACTCTTCCCAGCCACAGTAAGTAAGTGACCAGGTGCCCAGCGGGGACTGTCCCTCACTGCTGCCTCTCAGGCCCTCCCGGTCCAGGGGCGGCTGCCATGTGGTTGGGAGTTAAGCTAGAGTTAACGCCAATGTGTGGGCTGACTGTGCACCAGCCACGAGTCTTTTCCCCCACCATCCATGCAGCTCCCAGGAGGCGTCACTGCTACTAGAGAGAGAGACAGACGGATAGACAGACTAGGGGGGGGGCTGGTGAGGCGGATGCTGGGCCATGGGATTCACCCATGCCATCTGGGCTCAACCCAGGGCATAGCACTTCTACCATGCAGAGGACTGCGGCCATGCAGCCCAAAGTCATGAGCAAGTGGAGCTCAGGAAACCCAGCTTGTGACAGCTGCCTCCAGCGACGTGTTCTATTAGGGCCTGGTGGCATGCCAGGAGCTGTTCTCCAAATGAAGACTAGTTTTCTACCATGGAAGGCATGGCCTGGCTGCAGCACTGCAGATGTCTGCACTGTGACTCTCCCAGGGGCTCAGGAGGCTGTGTCGATCTGCCCCAGTGAAGAGACCACTTCTAGCATGACAGCCCTCCCTGGTTCTGCCTCCTGTTCAAGTTTACAGTAGTCTCTCATATTCTGCCATTATTAGTTTGTTTTTGGCTAAGGCCAGACAGGTGAATTTAATGGAGATGTGATGGGGACAACCACTCCTGCCTCCCTTGTCTTTGGTGTTGGTATTAATCCCCACAGTCCCTCCAGGAAAGCATGATTTCTATCTGGTTCACTATTTTGCTGGAGGGAGGAAGTGTCATGGACTCCCACTTGGCTCTTCTACCATAATTACCCTTGCCCCTTTGTCCAGGGAGCCAGTGTAGATTCTGCTAGCAGCTAAATCTGTCTATCTGAATTCGAATTCACAGGGCAGACCCACCGGACCTACTGTCGAGGCCTCCACTCTGTAAACAGATGCCCTTGATGACATTCCAATAGTCCTAGAATCAGTATCAGTTTATTTTTTTATTTTTTATTTTACCCTGGCTATAGTGCAGTGGCACAATCACAGCTCACTACAGCCTCCAACTCCTGAGCTCAAGTGATTCTTCTATCTCAGCTGTGGCTGGGAAGGTGCACTCCACCACACCTGGCTAATTTTTCTTTTTTGTAGAGATGGGGTCTTGCTCTGTTGCTCAGGCTCAAACATTTTTCTTTTTTGTAGAGATAGGGTCTTGCTCTGTTGCTCAGGCTCAAGCAAGCGTCCCTCCTTGGCCTCCCAAAGTGCTGGGATTACAGGTGTGAACCACCATGCCTGGCCTAGAATATTTAGTATTGGGAAAGTATTTATAGAGGCATCTGGCTTACTCTTCAATGTGAGAGCTGTGAAGATTTGAACTTGACTTGTATCTGAAAACTGGGTGGAAGACTCTGGTGGTTGATGTCAGATTTCTGACTGGCAGAGCCTGGTGAGTGTTTTTTTTCTGATTATACAAATTGAGCAACACCCCATTGACTGCTTTCTGTGTCACCCTCAGGCCACAACAACCTGCTGCCTGTTGTGTCCACCTTGCCTCTGATAGTTATTAGGTCATTAAATACGAAATGTCCAATTTCAAATCAAAAGTTAATTTATTATATCTCAAACAAGAAGCAGTACAATTAATCAAAGTATTGTGTAAACTAGCTACACAGTTTTGCCATCTTCAGGGTAGCTTGTTTATGCCAACAGCGAAGAAGCCTGAAGAGCAAGTGGTGATGAAATTGCGAAAGACGTTTTCCAAAGCTTGTTGAGAATTGAATATTTTCCCTTGCAAGATGTGGTCCAAAGCCTGGAAGAAGTGGTAGTCAGTTGGTGCAAGGTCTGGTGAATAGAGTGGATGACAGAGAATTTCCAAGTCCAGCTTCTGTAGTTTGAGCAGCGTTGTTTGTGCCACTTGTGGTCTTATAAGAGTATCGCCCTGTCTCTATTGACCAATTTCAACTGCTTAATCGCAAGCATCCTCATCATTTCATCCAACTGGTTGCAGTAGACATTCACTGTAATCAACTGACTAGGTTTCATGACGCTGTAGTGGATAATACCAGTGCTGGACCACCAAACAGACACCATTATCTTTTTTG